AAAGCAGACCAAACTCTGTAAAAGCCCAACGAGGCTCCTGTTACGAAACGAACTTTACCTCAAAGAAGCCGACGACGAGAATCTTTGGATTTGTCCTCTTCCTTCCCCTTACTCGGTATAGAGTCTTGGCACAAGTTTGGTGAAGAGGGGCAGTCCGTAGGCCTTTCCGTTACTAACTTCTTGTTTTCCGGATTAGTTGTGGTCTCCTCTCCGGCGGTTCTTTGGAATGTGGTCTGTGATTGACAACTTCATTCCATATATCGTTGTTCTATACTGAGGAGGATTTTCGTTAGACTGTCTGTACACTTTTGAGTCAGAACCGATAGCCTTTTGTGTTGCTTGAATGTGTCTTTAATAAGGTGGAGAGGAATGTAATACCATATATTATTAACAAGTTGTATTAGGGATTCCTAATTCTTGGAGAACCCCATCCTAGATTAAAAGAGACACCCTTCACACTTAAAGTTACTATTAACTAACAGCGTCTTATTAATAACACCACTTACTCGTCCTAGATATAACTACTAACAACAAATTAATGATTTGATACAAAATCATAATCAATATAGACTTGTTGATCTTTGACTTTTTTTGACAATACGAACAAATGTATTTAAGTAATTGTTACTTTCTAAAACCATAACAAAAATGTAATTTTTGTTTTTCTTCTAAACAAATATGATATTGAGATTTTTTTAGAAACACGATTGGAAAATGCTTCCATCAGGACGAATTGTGTCCTGCACACTACCGTGTCCCAATAAGATGTTGACACATCTTTTAAACTTTAAAAAATACAAAATATGGGTTATACCTATTTTTAGGGTTAAACATGACAGATTTATTTGTTTTCTCTCTTTGCTCCCATCTGTGTATCTTCATCTGCATCTTTCTTTTTCTTTAGCCAACAATCATTCCAAATCTAATATTTCCATTGTGTCCTCCACCGCTCCGCTTCAGATTGGATTTCAATTTGACCTTAGTAAGGATTGATTTATTTTCTTAAAACAGATATGTTAAAACATTATATTTGTCCTTTGGCCTTAGTATTAATTCTTGAGCTTAATTTGAATTCTGGGGATGTTGTATATCCCTATAGACTTGTTTTCTGTTTTTGCTTCCGCATTTCGATGTAAAACTCCTTCCGGCATGCAATAAGGACATGACAACACAAAACCAGATTAAGTAAGTAATTTTACCCTCATTAAAATAGCTTAAATTTAGTAAGAGATTTTGTTCAAACTTTGAGTTTTTTTCGCCTTTTCTATTTTGTTCATTTTGTTCTCATTCTTATTTATAAAAAAAGATAGAAACCGTAGAATTGAGTGGAAAAAAAAGAAATAACTTTCATATATACCATTCATAAAATAATTGAGGTAGATTTAAAAATAACGGTTAGTAGTGTTGGAAAACGTGCTAGTTTTAAAAACTTTTCGAGGGATTTAAATTCATAGATCTTGATTCATTACATAGAGACAAGTTTTATGCAAAAATAAAACATGATGTATCATTTAATTAAAAGATTGAATACTTACATCAATATTTGAGTAAACCTTAGATCTCCCCTCCAAAGTGAATGTTCTCACTTATTGTAAATCCCTTAATAAGATGCATTCTCCTTGGATTTCCATCTTCTTATTAATTGTTTTGCCTTTAGGAATCACTCATATGTCCCATGAATGACCTTGGAAAATTAGGCTTGTGGGAGCCTCCATTAGATGAGAACATAAACCCTAATTTTCTAGAGAGAGAAAATATATTCATTTTTCCTTCTACTAAAAATCACACCTAAAATATACATAGATCATGTATATTTATAGGCAATATAAAGGTAAAGAAAAGGAAACAACTAATCCTTCTCAATCTCTAATTCACATGTCTCAAATCTAATATGATTCCAATATCAAGTTGGGCTATGAGTGATAATCCATTGGGCCTATTATTTTATTGGCTACAATGAATTAATAATTGGCCCGGTCCATGGACCCAATTCAATTAATTCATAAATTAATTTCTACTCCACTAAAAGAAATTAATTGAACTCCAATTAAATAATAAATAACCTCTAAGTCAATATTGCACTTTGACCCCTCTATGCATAATTAGTTATCGGATAAATAAAGTCATCAATCCGACTACTTAATTAATATATTTATTTTGGTACCTTTGATTATTTCTGGCTCGATCACAATAAAACATTTGTTTGACAAAAATAATAATTTAAATAAATAAATATATAATAAATCATTTTGTCTAAAAATACACGAAGGCCTTCGAATTTACTTTGTGATCAACCATAATCAATACAAAATAAATACAAGTAGCAATGATGCAAATATTGAAAACATAACCCTCTAACTATTAATTACATAACTACCCAAAGTGTCGGTCTAAGGATCCTGAAAAATCCGCCGAACAAATCAAAGTAATTATTAATTAATAAAAGAGTCTATAATTTTCTCATACTTAAGAGTCAAATGCCATGACGGTGATAGGGAGCAATTGCATACGACAGTTCTCGCAATATATCTCAACCTAACGCGGATCTAGTTCAAATCTTAATTAATTATGAGTCCATCCATAATTACTGACTATGAATCATTTATGATTACTATTTATATATCATGCATTGATTGCCATCACAAACATATATATAAATATCTCTTGTAATCAAATAGACACTATCAATTCTATAATGAATCGAAATATAATACATTGAATTTACCAATTGTATAAAACATAAATATTTCATAAACGTTAGGAACATATGTCACTTTAATCCAAACAGAAATTTGCTCTGACAGGACATATAAATCTCAACAAGTAGTTCATAGTGTTGGTGGCATTTGAAAATGGATTGGATGAGGAACTCCGTCACCATTTTTTTTTCTTTAGTTTACCATTGCAGGGTTTGAATATTCAAAATGTCCTAATATTCAGAGGCCCACATACCTCAGTTGTTTGTTGCATTAGCTGCTTCTGAATTAAGTTGTACCATAGTCTCAGTCTAAAATTATTTCCTAGCACAATGTCAACGTCTCGCTAACTTCACACCAAGGCAAATAGTAAGTATGCTTCTGTTAACCACACAATGCCATCAACTTGTGCATAAAGCAATTGAGTGGTGCCAAAAATGACTAGTCAATTTACAAGTACATTATTATACTCTCTCTATGTATAAATCTTTAATATAATTATACATATAACTTCTCCTTGAAGATCTTAACATTATTATGGTCCCCAAGAACACCACTCCCTTTTAAAACTATGCTATATATCTGAATTATTTCCCTTGACACCATGAAGATATTACTTAGAAATAAATGCTGGGTGATGACTGACGAAATGTTGGGATATTTTTTCAATTAATCTGAATGTCCAACAATTTGTTTAGGGAGCAGGTGGATTTTTGTATTTAAATAAAAAAAGAAATGACATAACCCCTTTGTCTTATATTAAATGCTCATGTTTAGAAATTAGAATTTTTAAGAAGACATGCAATTAATGCATTGTTCCTTTTTAAAATTATCAACTTGTCATTTTTAGTTTAAATAGGTATAATTATCAAGTTTAAAATTTTTTAAAAATATAAAAGATTTTGATGAAAAAATAAAATTTATCTGCTTTGACTTTTCAAAATCAACAGTTAATTTGGAACATCTAAAAAAAAAAAAAATAGTGAATTACTGGGACAGTAGTATACATTGGCCAGTGAAATTAATTAAGCAGTAGTCTAATCAGTCTCTCTTATTGATTAAGAAAGCATCTTAAATTTGAGCCTCAAATAATTAGTAATATGTCTGTATCCTAAATAATGAAAAACAAAGACAAGACCCTTGATATGCACCAACAGCCCCACCACCTAAGGTGCCCTTCTAATCAAACTTCAATTAATAAAAAGTTGTCACATAGGAGGAGTACGCACGAAAGAGAAATAACTTTGTTTAGGAAATTATGAAAAGTCTTTAGGAAGACAAAGTCTCAAAGATGCCTACCCACAAGCATGGATTTCTTTGTCACAGCAATATCACACATCATAGATATAGATATATGGTGTGCATGACACACACACACACACACACACACACATATATGAACACAATAGAAAAATTGATATTTGAGCTCCATTTTTATTTTCTCACAATTTTACTTATTTTTTTTGAAAAATAAAATGACATAATTTTCTTTTAAAAGTAATATTTTCCCACACCCCAATGATGCTCGGAACTGCAAGTACTATGTTATCCGAGTGGTTGAATTGTTTTCTATATTTAAAAGTCCGTATTTGAACCTTGCATTCTTCCCCCTCCTCTAACAACTAACCACCAACCCCTAACATTCTTGTCTTGAAAAAAAAAAAAAAAAAGGTGATGCTCAGAATTATACATTCAACTTGTGAGGGATAATTATGTCATTTTCTTTAAAAAAAAAAAATTAAGCAATTTATAAAAGTACTAAAATGAGGGGAACCGTATCCTAATTAATTGAAAAAACTCTTACCTCAAATTTTGGAGGTCTGAGAATTCGACATTCTCTTAGAACCAACTTCAAAGGAAAATTCTTAATAATTATCTGGTGCATGTGTCCGGTGAATTGTCAGGTACTCTAAAATGCGGGACAGCACCATCTTTGCAAGAAAGAATAAATAAATACACATATATATATATATATATATATATTTTTAAAAAGTGGTGTTCCCCAACTTTAGTAGAAGAGGTCAGTTAGTTGGGACACCACTTTTGTTTCGGAGTAGATTTGGGCAGATATTGGACCAACCAAAACTGTATCATATTACAACTTACAAGGCCTGTTTTACAGAGACTTTAGCCCAACAGACCAATCTACGTCGAGGTCCACTAAATCGGCCCACATCATATTGAGGACAAGTTCGGTTCAGTACTGAATTTCCATGAATGCCCTTAAACTGATCCAAACTGTCTCAGCTAGCAGAAGAGCTTTCTTCAAACCTTGAAAAGCCCTAAATCTCTTGACAGGTAATAAACAAACCCTAATAATATTTCTTTTATATATTTCAAAGGGTATTGTTATTCTCTTGGTTACATACATATACACGTTCTCACATAATTAATTGTTTCACCTCTCTCTCTATATATATATGCAGTGGATGGTCTGTAATTCTCGCCTTTGAATCATGGAGATGTCAAATTTCTATATATTGTCGTTGAAGCCTCCGCCTAGTCGATCTATGTTCTCTTGCAATGTGAGTATTATTTCGTATATATGTATGTGTGTGTATAGTTGCCTTTTTGCGTCTTACATGTTCTTTTTCTATTCACATTGTGTGGGCTTTCTATAAAATTTTTGTCTTCGCCATTTAATTTATTGTGGTCATATGAATAGCTAAGTTCATGTGTAATTGAGGTGGTAAGAGGCTTAGAGACATTTTCAGAATTTGGGAATTATTGGGCATCTAATAATCGGGCATTTTCAGGGAACAGAGATAAAATATAACAATGTGTTTTTCAGTATGAATCTAAATGCATGTTGAAAGATGAGATTGGTAAACTACTGAAACAAAAACAAGATACTTAATATGAACAAGTGCAATAGGTAACTTGATAAGACAGTTGACTTGATCATTGACAACTATATTAGTTAAAGTGATGACTTATTCCTTAGTTAAGGTTCCTAATGAGCAAACCTTAAAGATCCTTGATGTTAATGAGTCAAAAGAGTAATATATTGAAAACTGAAATCACTGTACAGTTTTATTTCGTATACTTAAGAGATAACATGGGAGGTCGAGATTTAAAACACCTTGGAGCTTTCCAAGTTCTCTTAGAAAGAATAAATGGCACTGGAAACAGCCATCAGTCTGAAGGAACCTTTAAAAACATGACCTTTCTACTTCCTAATAAAACCTTAAATTTGAATCAAGTTTCTTAATAAACTGAATTTACATATGATTATTTATCTAGCTTTCTGACCACCAAGGTTAAGATAATGATCAAGCCTGTAAAAATAGTATATAATTCCAATTCCTGTTCATTAGTTAAATGTTCAAGTTCTTTACAAATGGAAACTCCATTTATCATCAATTTCTGTGAGTTGCAGGGCACTGTGACCACCTTTTTTAAAATTTGAAAGTACCTTCTTTTCTTTCTGTAAAAGGAAACCCCCACACCGCCCCTTCCTCCTCCTCTCTCCTTTCCAATTTTCATACAACAGGTTGCATTGGAACAGTTGTAAAGAAATTCCAAAACCATATTCAATTATATGTTTATTTTGTACACATTCCAAATTTCAGGTTGATTGGAGATCAATAGATGCCCCATTATATATTGCATCTAATTATACTTATACTAAGAGATGTGAGTGCATGAGTTGAACTACCACTAATGTCCGATGAACACGACATTTGGTGAGAATGAGGAATGGAAAAAATATGCAATCAAATGGTGAATTGGATAACTTTTGGATTTTATATGAAGTTTTGGAGGGCAGTAAGAACAATGAGTTTTACACAAGGTGTAAATGGATCTCGTCCATATATTTTCAGTCTGATAAAACTAATATGCTCTCTCTATAATTTTTTTAAATTAGTAAGTAGTAAATTATCAACCACCCACCACAAAACCTAGTTGGCTCCTTAAAATTCATTAATTAGTAGTATTGTTCAGTTTTTAAATATTAATAGAAAATTAGTTGTATTTTGCAATTGGGTCTGTCAATTATACGGATCATCTCATTTCTATGTAAGAATGCTCCTCTTAAATGCCTATCCCCAAAGAAAATATGGCTTACTGCCTTACTTATAACCCTGCAAGCAGATGGATCTAGAAAATCAGACAGAACTTCGAGCAATTTTATTTTGAATCAGTGGTTTGAAGCAATATTGTTCATTCATGTATTAATCGATTAAACTCTATGTTAATTAAAATTCTATATTTATATTAATTATGAGATATTATTACAAAAAAGTTGAAGGAAACCAACTCTTAATTTCTTTTTTGATTAAGGTCTCCCTGTAATTCATGACCATGTAACAATGGGATGATTAGCTGCTTGATTGATTGCACATCAGATGATTCAATAGTTTTTTTATGTGACGGTTCCTTGTGAAATGATTGAGTGTAAAGTTAGAGGATTTAAAAGAAATTATTCCAATAATAGCAAAACATTATTTGCCACAATAAACATTTTTCACAATCTATTGTGGAGTTCATTCTTCTAGTGTCTTTTATACTCAAACCTTCATTTTCTAGGGATAATTTCTGATTTCAGGAGCTTAATGGGTTGCGATGTCCAATCATTAATCATTTTGGGGTGTTTCATAACCTCTCTTCAGCCTCATTGAAGTCGTACAATTTAGTATTGGCGTGTAGTTGTCGAAGAGCAAATGAGGTCCAGGTTTTGTTTGGTCATCATCCTTGCAATTTGGGGACTGGAAAGCATGGTAAGTTCTCTTTCTCATTATTCTGTATAGCAACTATAGTCCTTCTGTAAGCACACCCATGGATAGCATTATAACTCGTGTTATTCATATGGTGTAAGATGATGTTTGTATATTGTCTTGCATCAATATCTGACGATGTTCTTGAGCCTATTAACTGGGGTAGATGTGGCTCCTGGAAGAAGGCAAGCTATGAGACGGTAGAAGGATGTAATAAAGGTGAAGAAGTCGGAGAAAATTTGTAGATGGCAAGTTATATAGAAAAGGAGGTATGCAACCCCTTAGTATCAAGCTCATGGCTCCTTGGCGGGTTTAATAGTACTAGCTGCTGTTTCTATTAGCATGTGGGTTGGATGAGGATGTATTGGGTTTTTGTACTTTTCTGAGCGAGTAGGGGTGACGGCGGTTTGGCAAAACACCAAGAAAATATCCAAGTTTTTTAGGCTGGAAGGAGAGAAGTAACTGTTTGCTGTCACAAGAAAAGGATCACGCTAGTATAACTTGAGCAGATCTCTTCCCATTCTATGTCCTGACAGAAATTTATTTAATTCTTTTCCAGTTTTGCATGTCACTGTGTGGCTGCCTATGTGTTTGTTGAAGTATCTTGGTACTGGTTGTCATTGGTTTTTGAGAAAAGACAAACAAGTTCATTATGCTTCCTGCAGTCGGAGTAAAACTAAAACTCATTTGAATAAAATCTCCAGGGGATCTTTATTTTCCCATAAGTTTGCATCTCTCTCAAATGTTAGGTTGTTCAATCGCCAGAGAGAGTTCAAGAGGTTATTTCCTGCTTTGCATCTTTGGCTTTATTTTCCCATAAGTTTGCATCTCTCTCAATTGCAAGCCAGGTTATTTCAAAAGTTGACGTTGTCTGTTTGACGGAAAAACTTATTTTGAATAGTATGCCTCATCTGTGAATTGTATCAGGTATATATTGTCTGTTCTGGAACAATGGAACATAATGGATATATGATGCACATCATTGATCAAGTCAAGGAGCACCATATATTTGTTTAACTGTATTTCGATTTCTGTTTTAATACTCTAGTATGTGTGACTTCATATTTATCTAGTGCAGCAACCCTTGGACGAGCTTCCCGTTTATATTCATTGAAACCATGTCAAGTTAAAAGTGAGGACTCGGAGGGAACTTTGAGTGGTGAAAGCATCCTATTAAACGAGCAGACCTTAGAGCGGGAACTACAAATTGCCATTGAGGAGGAAAACTACACTCAAGCAGCAAAAATCAGGGACAATCTCCGAGTTCTCCAGGAGGATAGCAAGACTTCAGTACTAGCAGCCAACGCTCGATTCTACAACTCATTTAGGAATGGGGATCTGGCTGCCATGCAAGCCCTCTGGGCAAAGGGGGAAAATGTGTGTGTTGTGCATCCTGGTGTGAGTGGCATATCTGGTTACGATCTTGTGATGGGGAGCTGGGAATTTGTATGGGCTGACTATGAGTTCCCATTACAGATTGAGATTAAGGATGTACAAGTCCATGTCAAAGGTGATTTAGGGTATGTTACTTGCACCGAATTGGTTAAGACAAAAGGTAGCAGCTGGGGAAGACAGTTCGCGACTAATGTTTTTGAGAGAATCGATGGCCAATGGTTCATCTGTATTCACCATGCATCACATGTTGAGTTGTGATGATTGAGGAAGAATATCAGCATCACTATCAGTTTATACATGGAAAGAAGGACAAATGTTGCTTATAGTATAAAAACAGCTTCTGTTGTACGTATATTTTAGATGCTTGCTTGACCGTAGGCTGCAATAAAATCTGTGAGACCTTATTATCATTTTAATTCTATTCCAGATTTTTTTATCTAAAGAAGGCCCAAGAGCTCTGATAGTTTGCATCGTTGCATGCATGTCCATATAGTAGGTATAGTCTTCACGAACCTGTACAACTCTTGTAATGCCGAGTTGGATATAGTAAATGATGTTATTTTTTACATACATAGGATTATGGTACTAATGGTACCAACTGGTACAAGATTAAAATGGTCATAGATCTCATCTCCCACATCACTCTCTTGTTCAGAGGTCAGCTTTCATGGTAGCCATATCTCAATTTTAACAAAATATGGACTGATTATGAACAAATACCTACCCTCTTTGAGGTATAGATGCTTCCTTTGCTATCCACTGAAGTTTAACAGCTAAATGCCCGAAACATATCCCTTGCATGAAGCTAGACTCTTCCAACAGGAGAAGGGGGTGGGGATGGGATGTATCTTGGCGGAATGGTGGGAGGCTTTGTTCTATCACATCCAGTCAGAGCAGCTTCGCGGAGAAGTTTTACTTCTGACATGTTATTCACTTCCATGAAGTCGGAAAACATATCCCTTGCATGAAGCTAGACTCTTCCAACAGGAGAAGGGGGTGGGGATGGGATGTATCTTAGCGGAATGGTGGGAGGCTTTGTTCTATCACATCCAGTCAGAGCAGGTTCGCGGAGAAGTTTTGCTTCTGACATGTTATTCACTTCCATGAAGTCAGAAGACTCCTGACTACTTATAAACGCGATACAGATTGAGAATGCTTGTAACAAAGAGATTGACGTGTTAAATTCAACAGAGTAAGTTCCCTTCTTGAATGGTGCCAAACTGAAGATTGGCTTGTTCTCTTGATCTCCTCCCTGTGTGAAGGTAGACTATATTGAGCAAATACGTATTAACAAAATAACAAAGATTAACTTTTACCAAAAACAAAAACAAAGATTAAATAATTATAGGCAGAGAAAGAGAGTGCTCAGCTAGACATAAAAGCAGTACCTGAACAAAAAGATCAAGATGACTTGCGGTAGAACAAGGAATAGATTGTTTCAAATGCTTGTAGCTTTTATCCTGGTCAGTGAGAATTCGTAGTTTGCAACCAACATCCCAACCTCCGCAATCGCATGATCCACCAGATTTCCATCTGTTAATCAATGGCGAAGGTACTCCCTTACTTGGCAAGCCATGAAAACCACCAGGAAGAATAACTATCGTGCTACCAGAGCGTTCATTTTCACCATCGTCACAGAATTTTTTGTCTTCTTGCAAATGCTCTGTAAACCCTGTCCCTGTCAAGTCCATGCCTTTATGGCTCTGTTCTCCATCATCCTTTGTATTTTCACTCGGAATCTTGATGACAATGGCTGCAACCTCCCTGTTTGGCATGTGCTCTGATGTTACCTTATCTGTCTGTCCAATATCAACACCATAAAGAACACACTCTCTCACTACAAAATGGTCCTTGGTGCTCTGTGCAGTCAAGTCTGGAAAATCAGAACAGGAAACCTTCATCTGACCAACAACATCATAGCTAAAGCCACTTTTTCCTTTATGCCTTTGATTTATCCAGCTGCCACTCTTCCTCTTAATTTCATTAACAGAGTAAAATGTGTATATCCAGGTAGAATCACCCTTCCCAGTTGTAGTTAACTTTTTCACATTGGCAGCGAGAATGTCAGTATTATTATCAACCACAAGTTTGAACAAAGGGAGTCCATTCTTAAATGTAAGTTGCAGAAGAGCTTCAACAGATGATTTCCCATGCTTCTTGTCCGGTGATGATTCACTATTATCAATCAGCTTAGAGGTTGAAGAATTCAAATTCCATTTCAATGGCTGAACAGTCTCAGCAGAAAGATGCCGGTTTGCTGCCTTGGGCTTCAGTAGAGGGTCTAGTAACCTTCTTAAAGGGCTGGACCTGGATCTGCTATGAAAATTAGGATTTTTTCCGTTTGAATCATCCAGACAACCAGAAGTTTCAAATGTCACTGGACCAGACTTGACAGTAGCATACGAAGAGCTCAACTGAGGAACAGCTGACACCTCCTTAAAACTGAAACTTCTGCTCATCCTGCTTAGGCTGAAGCTAAACCGATGATTAGGTGATGGATGCCTTCCCTTTGCAGCTACTGGGTCAGTAGTTTCTTGATCAAATCTCTTAGAATTCTCAATTGGACTTGAGCAGGAAATCTTCATGCTTGCCCTTTTCTCATCTACAGATTTACTTTTAGAAAATATGGCTGGTGATTCATTTGAACATTGCCATGTGTCAGACGCAGCATGTGGAAGCTCCATTCCTTGAGCTTTTATCAAGCTATGTGGTTCCGTGTCAGGCTTGGTGTTGGTCTCCACACTAACAGGCAGCGGGCGAGATTGCAGAATTTCAGAACAGAGTTCTGCAGAGTGAACTTCCTCAGAAGAATTGTGGCATGAAAAGCTTTTCTGATTTGCTTGTGTCAATTTTCCATCAGATAATATTCTGCCTTCCGAAGGCTGAAATACCTGAGAGCAACTCCTTTTGGGAGAATGTTTGGGTAAAAGGAGAACAATTCTTTGGTGATCTCCAGGGCAGTGATTATGAGCAAGAGTAAATTCTGATGCTTGTAGCTCCTCCACTCTCTGCTTAGTTTCTCCATTCTGACCACTCATCGCGTCCTTTGCAGAGAGTGAGATACCGTGTTTTCTCAAGTTGGAAGTTTTCTTATCTGGCATGATATTCTGATCTGCATCTTTTCTCTTGTCCATCTCAATCTTCATCTCAGAATAATTTCTACGAAAAGACTTCTTTGTGCACTTTTGCTGCCCATCCAGGGTGCTCTTTGGAGCACTCTCAAAATCTTGAAGGTGTATGACCTTCCCTCCAGACTGTTTAACACCTTGAGAAGGATCTTCTTCACGACGAGCACACTGTAATGGGGCCTGCTTCATCAGAGGAGAAAGGTTCTTGCCCCGAACTTTACAGGGAAGTGAAGAGAAGCTACTTGCCATAAATGAGGAATTATGGCTAGAAGATGATGTATTCAGGTTACCTTTTTGTAAGATATGTTTTTGGTCATATTTCCACTTTTCTAGATGTTCCCAATCAAGAACTCCAAAATTCAAAGCCTTTTCCTGGAGATTTTTTCCTCTGTCCATTTGCTGGAGATAGCCAGGTAAATTTGACATGTGCTTGACCAGCTCATCATCTCTAGTCACCTTCTTCCCATTCCATTGCTTTTGGTTTTTTAAAGAAGATTTTGGATGAAAATTGGAGCAGTCACCTGCACTATGTCTTAATTCATGATGCCAACCAAGGTACGGTTGACCAAATGGACGTTCTACTTTACACTTGTCTTGCAACTTTAGACTTTCAATTGCTCGAGGTGGTAGGATCCTCTCCTTCGCAACTTTTGATGTTTGTGGCTGTTTTGTACTCCCTTTGAGTTCGAAACTGTATCCCATGTTCTCAATTGATTCTAAGTGCTTGTTACTTGATTATATCTCAGATGGTATGATATAACACATTGCCATGCTCCACTGACACGTGTGAGCCACCAAAACATGGTGCAAGATTGAGTCCTTTCCGTGCTGAGAATTTCATCAGAGCAAAGAGATGTATGTAAATTGTCAAAAGTCAAAAAAAAAAAAAACAGTTAAAAAAGAACAAACTCAAGAATTTCACTAGAGGAAAAATTATGCAACTTGGAAGATAAAAGTTCCCATTATTGACATACAAGTTAATGTAGACTTCACCAAGAAATGATATTTTCCTGCCTAGGACCAACTGAACTCAAAACTTGGGAGCCATTATGTATGTAAACATTACTTAGACTGGCATAAACAATTAACTTTCTCAAGAATCAAATAACACTCATTAGAGAGAGAATAGACAGAGTCACTCCTCACTTGGACGGACAACTATGATTGATGTGTTATCATAATCATTTAATAATTGAGATCTAGTGTGAGTTCCTTGCTCAACTCAACCCAACAGAGAACCAAGTTATTTGCGATGAACTACACAAATCCTGTATCGATTTTCTAAATTCATATTCGTAAGGATATAAATATATAATTTGTGTGATAGTTGTTCGCCTGCCGTATGTGCAACACACAAGCATTGGTGGAAACAAAGGGGTTGATACAGAATTTGCAGTTATACAACAAGATGAAAATAAGATAAACAAGAACTGCTAAACTCCCTTGGTTACAATGTACAGGTCAAATAGTTTGTTAACCATCTGCTAAGTCCTTCTGAGGTAAATTGAAGATGAATGTGCATCTGATTTAACAAGGAATTTCATATACCATTTTAGTAAGTTCTTCAAAGAGAACAATCAAAACTTGTTCTCTTCCACAAAAAGTTGTATTGACAGTTCAATACAATGTTTAAAAAACAAAAATAAAAAACAAAAAACAGTTGAGCAAGCAAACAGGCCCTCTATTCATGCTCTCTCTCAAGATGAAATAGAACTCTTGGGGGCAACCCTACATTAAGATGAACAAGAAATGGCCTTCAGGAATACCATGACACACAGGTTTTAATACAAAAAGTTGCAACAACAGGACATTTGATTGTCACAGAAGTCAAAATCTTTGTTGCTTAATGTCAACACTAAGGAGTTTGTATTGCTGTCTATTCATAGTTTAAGTATTTTTTGTCTCAATTTAACGCGAGAAAAGAGTTTCTGGTGCCATTTCATTTGACCTTTCTTGCATAATCAGCACTTACATCATTATCCATTAAACCATAAGTCACAGCGTCTACACCATCACATAATCACTTTAAAGTCCAAAGAATGCTCACAACTCAAGAACCCAGAAGCAAATTAGCCATTCTTTACTAAATTCCATAACATATAATATAGCTCATCAATCAAACAAAATTTCAGCCAAGAAAGATAGAAAATTGAATACCCAAGACAAAACAAATCTCTCTCTCTAAGAGTCCTTGACCGAATTGCCCCTTTCATGTCCAAGTTCTAATTTCTCTTCAAGACTAAGCAAATCGACGCAAATGATTCACGTCGAAAGCAAATGACAGACAGATCCAAACTAATTAGAGCTAAACTATCAGAGTAGTACAATCAAATTCGCGGGAATTACCGCCAAATGTGTATCAAAAAACAAACAAAATTTCTAAATTCTAACTGTAAGCGCCAATAATTGTACTTAAATCACTCTAAAACAACAACAACAACAAAAAAAAAAAAAAAAAAAGCCAGAGCACATACCACGAGAAATCAATAATTTACTGAATATAAGACACGCATTAACCAAAATCATCGATCTCGATGAAGAGAAAATACATTACCTCAAAATAATCACTCTGAAAATCTTGGAATCAACGAGAAGAATGTGCACTGAAAGCAAAGAAAGGAATTGCAGAGAATCAAGAAGATGCAAGCAATGTTCTTGTAAATCGCACACGTTTTCTTCAAAGGCGTAGAAGAATACAAAGAACCTATAGAATACACAGAAACGGACCGAGAATCTGTCTCTCTCACCGCAGTGATGTCTAGAGAGAGACAAGAATGGTTTAGAGAGAGAAAGTGAGGCGTTTCGTTTTCAATCAGACGGTCGAATCAGGTAATTTGAGGTGGTGGCTACCATGGGACCCATTTGTAGACATTACGGCATGGCATCACAAAGCGATTTAGGTGGGACCCACTTAAGTCAACATTTGTGTATCGGTGGGTCCACTTTATGGTGGGTTGTTGATTCGGCTGTGGGCTGCATGGGCTTATTTATGGGCTTTATAAGGTTAAGAGAGGTTAGGTTTCGTCTTATCCGTATTAGTTATTGGATTTTTATTATATGGGTTGAGCCCAAGGACAGGAGAGAGAAAAGGAATTCACGAACCAATATAATCATGAAACGTGCCCAAATCGGTGAGTGTTAATCCAAGTATTGCTCAAAATTTATTTATTGAATACGAAAGTGATTTAGATTTGATAGTTAATTCCAACTTTTTTATGCAAGTGGAGACCAGATAATTTTTAAGAATGTGAAGGAATGGACTTTTTACTTAGTTTGGTATTTATTTATTTATTTTTATTTAAGTTGATACTTACATATTTCTTTTAAAAAATTATTTGTACGACGATTAGGTGACATCAGCTCTTATTTATATAAAATTAGTCATATTGAATAAATTGGAGTATCGAGCTCCCTATCATACATACACTATTAAAAATAAACAAGTCCAACTTTAAAAATTAATTTTCTTATTTCCATGGATTTGTCAATTTTCTTGAATTAGTTTAGAGAAAACTGATCTATGGGTTAAAATTGAAATCTATATACATTAGACACCCAAGGTTATCCAGGAAAAAATCTTGTGATTCTATACTTGGATTGATGATTAATTAGAATTATTTTTAAAAATAAAATAAAGTCGGAGAAATGTTTTAGTATAGAAAAAATTTGAAAAAAATAGTTTTTTTGGTCATGGCCTCAAAAATAGTGACAATGAATGATGGCGTCTGAGAATCTTTCTCAATTCAGACTCTCCAAATACTCACAATGGGACTGTTCCATCGTGTTGGCAGATTCGGAATTTGAACTCCAAATTATTATTTTATTAATTTTTTTAGAAAATTGCAAAAAAAATTTGGTGTGCCATATGAGATTTTTTTAAGAAGTAAAATCTTGATACCACTAAACCACAAACTTGTTAATTATGTAACAAATTAAATTCAAGTGGACTAAATTATCATCCAAGTCACACTCAGCAAGATTGAGCCGAAAGCAAAAGCCATTATAAGATTGAACATGCTTTAATAGTGTTATGAATATTTTAATAAAACATAAATAATATTTAATATAATTATTTATTATATTTATATGTTGAATATTATTTTATGAATTAAATTATATTTATGGCATTAATTATATGGACCATATGAATTTCTATATTTATTTGACCACTTATTACCACTACAATATTATATACATGTGGTCATTAATCAAGTTGAGAGTCTTATGTCGGTCCCTGATACCACCATCGAAAGGTAGGTTTGTTATACTGATGGTGCCCGGTACGTAATAGATTCCATTCCCAGATTAAGAAGTGTATATATTTGTACACCATATATGATATATCGTCCTAAATAAATTCCAAATCCAATCAATTAAGCAAAATATGGATGTTCCTCAACCTCACGCAGTGATTTTGCCCTTTCCGGCACAGGGCCACATCAAGCCCATGCTCATGCTAGCAAAGCTTCTTTCCCATGCCAATTTCTATATCACTTTTGTAAACACACTCGACATCCACAACCACTTCCTCGAATTAATCAACCAAACCACCTTCAACAACCTCTTTCCTAGACTACGTTTCATGGCCATTCCTGACGGACTTCCACCGGAACATCCACGCTCCGGTCCCCAATTCATCAGAGACTTGTTCATCTCTATTTTGTCTGCCGCGCCCAAGCACAAGTTCAGGGACCTATTGCTTTCACTAATTAATGGCCCAGAAACAGGAGGAGGACAGTGGTCGACGCCCACATGTGTAATAGCAGATGGACTCATTTCAATTTTAGCCATTGATGTAGCAGAGGAGCTCCACATTCCGGTCATCGCTTTTAGAACTGTCAGTGCTTCCAGCTACTGGGTTTATTTAAATATCCCAAAACTCATTGAAGAAGGACTCATTCCATTCCAAGGTACGTGATGATAGGTAGTCTCGAATTAATTATACTATGGACTCATAGATAAAAAGAGTCGTAGTTATCCCGGCCACTGTCTATGCATATATATATATATATATATGTACGTAACATAACATATATCAGTTATATATCTGTGTGTGTGTGAAAGTACTTATTCATAAGATTTAATTTTTAATTTTAGGGGATGATGACATGGATGGACTTATTACTTGTATTCCTGGATTTCAAAGCCTCTTGCGACGAAGAGATCTTCCAAGCTTTTGCAGATTTGAATCAATTGAAAACCCAGTTTTACAATTCTTCATCAACCAAACCTTGGCCATGACTCGAGCTTCTGCTCTCATACTCAACACTTTTGATGGACTGGAATCACCCATCATCTCTAAACTCCTCTCTTTCTTCCCCAAAATATACACCATTGGTCCTCTCCATGCTCTCTTGGAGTCTCGAATCAAAGATCATCTATTATTGTCTCATTCTTCATCAAATGGTAGTTTGAGAGAACAAGATAGGACTTGCCTCGCATGGCTTGATTCTCAGCCGTCCAAATCAGTGGTATACATCAACTTTGGAAGTCTGGTGATGATCACTCCTGACCAATTGATGGAGTTTTGGTATGGTTTGGTTAACAGTGAAAAACCATTCTTGTGGGTCATAAGGGAAGACTTGCTTTTGGGGGAGGATATGGTGAATGAGACTCCACAAGAGCTTACGATGAGGACTAGGGAAAGAGGGTGCATAGTGGGTTGGGCTCCACAAGAGGAAATTCTGGCCCATCGAGCCGTTGGTGGGTTTTTGACCCACAGTGGGTGGAACTCAACTTTAGAGAGTATCTGGGCCGGTGTGCCCATGATTTGTTGGCCACAATTGGCCGACCAACAAGTAAACAGTAGGTGCGTGAGTGAGTTGTGGAAGCTTGGGATTGATATAAAGGACACGTGTGATAGATCAACGGTTGAGAAGGTGGTGAGAGATTTAATAGAGGGTAAGAGAGAGGAGATCATGAAATCAAGTGATGACATTGCGAGAATGGCTCGTGACAGTGTTAGGGAAGGTGGATCCTCTTATTGTAACTTAGAGAAGCTAGTTGATGACATTCGATCATTCATGTCATCATCACAGTATGCTTCTTCTGAATGTAACGAGGGAAGAAAATTGTAGTGTTGAAAAATGTATTTTGTTTTCTATTTGATTTATAGACTTTAATTTGTGACTTTGTTTATTTTGTGTTTATATGTCTATCATTATGTGTTATACCTTACACAGGGAATTAAGGACTTAAATTAGTAGATAGCAAATTAGCAATTGAACTTACTTGACTTCATAATTCTTGCTGAATTTAACAATTTATGTTTTATCTTTAGTTACCAAGTCATCCTCCTATAATTATATATATATATATATATATAGAACGTGCTTTAATTTACAAAACCACACAACTGCACCACATCATAATTTATATTAGAGGGTGGCTACAATATCAATGAGTGAGAGCATTGTGAACGTGATAAGTTGACCAAATGAGCAAACATCATCATATTTTATATTGTTTAAAAATTAAAAATTAAAAATAGAACCTCCCTTGAACATGATATATATTTTATTATTTTAAAATATTAAAAATAATTTCGGTGCCTGAATACCACCATTGAAAGGTTTGTTGTACTGATGGTGCCCGGTACCCAATAGATTCCATTTCCAGCTCATGAAGGCGTATATATTTGTACACCATATATATATATATATATGTATCGTCCTAATTAATTCCCAACCCAGCCAATTAATTAAGCAAAACATGGATGTCACTCATCCTCAGCCTCACGTAGTGATCTTGCCTTTCGCTTCACAGGGACACATCAAACCCATGCTAATGCTAGCACAGCTTCTTAGCAATGCCAATTTCTATGTCACCTTTGTAAACACACATCACAACCACAATTTAATCCTCAAAATGATCATCAACAATACCAGTTTCAGGAGCCGCTTTCCTAGACTCCGTTTTGAGGTGATCCCAGATGGACTTTCACCTGAACATCCACGATCTGGTCCACAACGCGTTGATCTTTACTTCTCTATTGGGTTGGCGTCAAAGGCCAAGTTGAAAGACATACTAATGGGGGTCTCACTTACTCAAGAATGGTCGCCACCCAAATGCCTAATAGCAGATGGAATCATGTCTTTCGCCATTGATGTTGCAGAAGAGCTCCACATTCCCGTCATCACTTTTCGATCCTACAATGCTTCTTGCACCTGGATTAACTTCCATATTGAAAACCTCATTCAACAAGGAGAAATTCCATTTCACGGTGCGCCAAAAATTTTTCTTACCCTTAAATTTTTTTTGAAATGGTTTTGATTCCGTCACCGATACGCGAGTTAACGGATCAGGTCGGTGAGTTAGAATTTTTCTTAAATAGTCTAATATTAATTTTTTTTAACCATACCCTAATTGATAAAATTTTAATTTATTAAAATTAATTCATATATTTAAATCATCATGAACTAATATATTCTTAGAGTTCATCAAATCATGATTAACAAATTTAATTAATTAATACATTCTTTGAATATATATATTACAGATCGGATCAAATTTTAATAATCTAATCTGTGATTCCATTCATGTTACAGATTCAATTTTTTTGAATTCGCTATCGATCCGTGGATATAATAATTTGTTCCAATTCACAAGTATTGGATCGCAAATTCACGAATTATTTGTTCACTCGTAGTTCGCGATTCATGAAGTATTCAAACTTGAATAAATTTATGATAAATTTTATGAATTTTTTTAATATTTAATAATTACAATAACAAAAATAATATTAAAATTTAAAATTGTCATAAAAAAAAAAAAACTAAATAACAAAAAATTTATTTAAAAATTTATTATTAATCAGGATAAATTTGGGCTCAACCCTTTTAGGACGGGTTAAATTCACACCAGTAAATAAAGTTGTCAAAAAATTAATGTTAGCAAATTTCTATTAGCGGGCCTGGAGGCCCAACAAGGCATAGAGCTAACATTACATACTAGCCCAAAATAAAGGAAGACAAAAAAAACAAGGGCAACGCCCATTTAAGTTCAATGAATAACATATACACTCCAGATTGGGCTAAGAAAAAATTTGGCTGTTCGAATATGCGCGTCCTTCATAGACACACATTTTGAAGGAGAGATTCCATCCCAACAACTTCTCAATGCGTTTAGAAACCTCTAATGGTTTGTTTTTCCAATAGAGTAGTATTACTTACCATGAATTGGTTATTTATGTTAAATACAAATAAGTGAAGGATCTCAATCTCTTATTTGTTATATAAATAATAGGTCTAACAATTCATTACAATTGCAACTACTCACTACAAAAATTATTTTCTTTTCCTATAATGCCAAACTTTGTGTCATCATCCGTGCGCCAACTTGTATTAACTTGCATGCATATTTACTCAATGAATGCAATAACCCATTAAATCATATAACAAACAGATGGATATATACTGATGTGGTTCGTTCACAAATGCACATATAGTTAGTAATTATAAAATTAGGAAAGTAATAAATAAAGAAACTAGAGAAGATAATTAAATTTATTCAATTTTTTTTTTTTTTTTATCTTTGTTTGTCACTTTCCTAATTATGTAATTACAAATTATATGTACATTTGTAATTAGATTACATCAGCGGTCAACATGATAACTTGTTCACTAATGAGTAGGTAAGTATTGTCCAATCAAATATATATTTATTCAGATTCTTTATCACTTGTGTGTGTGTATAATTAATTAGATTTTTCATTTTAGGGGATGATGACATGAGTAAGCCTGTTTCTTGCATTCCTGGGTTTGAGAGCCTCTTGCGACGTAGAGATCTACCAAGCATTTGTAGATATGAAGACGTCCAGAACCCACCGTCGGATTCATCAAATGGTAGTCTAAGGGAACAAGATAGGACTTGCCTGACATGGCTCGACTGTCAGCCGTCCAAATCAGTGATATACGTTAGCTTCGGAAGTCTGACTATATTGACTCGTGAGCAGCTCTTAGAGTTTTGGTATGGTTTGGTGAATAGTGAAAAGCTATTTCTATTGGTAATAAGGGAAGGTTTGATTCCAGAGGAGGATAATAAATTGGTTGAGACTCCTTTAGACCTTTTGGTGGGGACTAGGGATAGAGGGTGCATAGTGGGTTGGGCCCCACAAGAAGAAGTTCTGACCCATCGGGCTGTGGGTGGGTTTTTGACCCACAGTGGATGGAACTCAACGTTAGAGAGTATTTTGGCGGGTGTTCCAATGATTTGTTGGCCACAAATAGCTGACCAGCAAGTGAATAGTAGGTGTGTGGGTGAGTTATGGAAGGTTGGGGTTGATATGAAGGACATTTGTGATAGATTAACAGTTGAGAAAATGGTAAGAAATCTGATGGATGGTAAGAGAGAGAAGATCATGAAATCAATAGCTGAGAATTCGAGAATGGCTTGTGATAGTGTCAGGGATGGTGGATCATCTTATTGTAACTTAGAGAAGTTAATTGAAGACATTCGATCGATGAAGTCAACTAAGAACGCTTCGGTTAAAGTATTGAAGGCATGATTAATTGAATGGATTTCTTCTTTCCAGCTCAAACGGACTATTTTAGGAGTCTTGGAAACTATTTTTACTTTGCCTTTGCTGCTACTTTTCACGGCCTTTCTATTATGGTCTTTAGTTCTCCTGATTAATTTGAGATGATACATTTTATTTTTATTATTTTTTCGCTCTTAAATGTAGTTTTGGTTTTTGGTCTCTGTGTTGCTATTTACTTTTAGCCTTTCTGGTTTTCTTGTCTCAGTTGTGTCTATGGTATATGGAAATTGAAGCATCAATTTTGTACTTATGTTTGGGGCATTGGATTGGCGACTTTGGATTTAGAATTAGAGAAAAATTTAGTTAAAATTTTGAACTAAAATTTTCCAATCCTAAATTCGAAACACCAATATGGTGCTCCCAAAAACAACATAAAAATTTTGCTGGTACTATAATAGAATCCAGGCCAGAGCCAAAAACCTCCATTTGGGGACAAAGTAGTATAATAAAATTAATTTTAAAATGAAATAATTGTAATGATTTTAATTTTGGTGCATTTTTAAAAGCTTATCTAGAAATGATATGAGAAAAATAAACAGGAAAAAAGATTGGTTAACTATGAATAAATTAAGCTATCAAGTTGTGGAGCATTTTTTTTCCGAACAATACTTAGGTGCTCACCGATGAGTATGTCTTCACTGCTGAGATGAACCAATAACAAATGGACACCTCCTCTTTAATTATAAAATATAAAAAAAAGTCAAAAAAAAATAATATTGGTAAGTGTGTGTGCCTCCATCATTTCCGATTTAATACTTAAACTATCCTACTATCTCTGATTCGGTAATACAATTACATTATGTTGTGTGTCATTGTTTAATACTTCCCGTTACACACAAAAAAAAAAATCCACCTTTCATTTTTTGGATGTCCTAAACTAATTATCTCAATTTAAAATTTAATGTACTACTTTTTAAACAACACTCTTAAAAAAAATTAAATTAAATTCCTAAAAGGATTCAACTAATTTTTTCAATTCTAATTCTAGCATTACGATTTTTTTTTTTTTTAGGTGCAAAATAGTAAATCGCATATTCCTTGAGGCCCTAGACGGTGTTGGATTTGGTAGATGACAAAAAGTATACTTACAAGTTACAACGAAAAAGATATGGCACTTGCAAATAAAAATCACGAAGTCTACATCACCATCCGTAGTTTGATAAAACATACATCAACGGCATATTCCTTTAAACGGGGTCCTTACGTTGGATTTGGTAGATAACAAAAGTATACTTACAAGTTACAACCAAAAATATATGGCATTTGCAAATAAAAATCACGAAGTCTACATCGGTATCTGTAATTTGATAAACATACATCAATGGTTGTTCTTATGGGGAAATTACTAGGTACGGAGAGAGAGTTCCCTTTCGAGATGAATAATTGATCACCCGCGAGTCAATAATTAAGCAGGAATGTGAAGGGATATGGATGTAAGTGAGCCTCAGCCTCAGCCTCAACCTCACGTAGTGATATTGCCTTTCCCTGCACAAGGACACATCAAACCCATGCTAATGCTTGCACAGCTTCTTTGCACTGCCAATTTCTGTGTCACCTTTGTAAACACCCTTCACAACCACAATCTCATGTTCAAATTGATCATCAACAATACCGCTTTCAAGGCCCTCTTTCTTACACTCCGTTTTGAGGTCATCCCAGATGGACTTCCACCTCAACATCCACGCTCTGGTCCACAACTCCTTGACATATTCTTCTACATGGGATTTGAGTCCAAGGCCAAGTTCAAGGACATATTAACGGGTCTACATCAACAACAAGAATGGTCACCACCGACGTGTATAATAGCAGATGGAATCATGTCTTTTGCCATTGATGTTGCAGAACAGCTCCATATCACGGTCATCACTTTTCGAACCTACAATGCTTCCTGCACCTGGCTTTACTTCCATATTCAAAACCTTATTCAACAAGGAGAAATTCAATTCCATGGTGAGACAAATCAATAAGTTTCTCAAATGCCAAATTTATTTTATTTTTTTAACCGGCTCCCACGTGAAATAATTGGAACGCGCACACAACACACAAAGATATTCCATTCCATATGAGATGCATATAAATTTACATATATATATATATATATGGATACAGTACAAAAAAAATCCCTCAACTATGTTCAAATTTTCAAATAACATACTCTTTAGCGGAGCCAAGATTCAATGTAAAGGGGGTTCGTAGTATTAACAATTTTACCATTATAATATAATAATATTTTAAGTTAAAAGTACTTCATGATCGATTAAATACATATAAAAATATATCTAGCAAAAATTTGGCCAATTTGTTTATAAAACAATAATTGGTCTATATCTAGTCAAATATAACATAGATAAATACAAAAAAAAATCTAAACATCAACATTAAAGATGGAAGCCGCGGAAGGCACATCATTTTTTTTATAAAAAGTGTCAATAGTTCTTTTTGGCTTCACCATTGTATGACATTGTACCTAAAGAGAGTAATTCAAATATAAACTTTTAATACCTATTACCTAGGGTTTTACATTGTAATTTAAACCATCGATCCTAAATTGCTAACAAACATAATTGAGTAAAAATAATATTGCACCCTCATTGCATATAAAATAACAAATTTAAAATATAAAAAAATTATCACCCACAATTGTGGCCAGTGAAGTGTCTAAAGACTCTAAACAATAAATTGTGTGGAGTGTCTAAATATGCGATGGTTGCTTAAATATCTACGTACTTGACAGTGCCTAATGGGATTAAAAAAATAAGTTCAATGTTCATTCAATTGAATTTTAACTCCATCCAATTAATAAGACAAGGTCAGCTTATTGGACTGTACTAATAAAATAATAAAATTGCCACTTGACCCACTTCAAATCTTTATTTAAGACATTAATAAATATGAATGTGAACTAACAGAAGTGTTGAATGCAAATTGTTTACAAATTGTAATTCAAAGAAGGAATCGGAATCCAGCCACACTTGTCGATAGTCTACAAGAATTCATAGAGTCATAGGAAGTTAGGAACTTAGGAAGAATTCTTTTTTTTTTTTTTTTTCATTTCACGAGAAGCAAATAACAACATATTGAATTAATAATTTAGCATAATATTGACAGAGATCAATTCAAAAAAAAGGGCAAAAGATAGGTAAGACCTTGAGTTGAGCTTCGACAGCCTCGATCCTTCAAGATCTTTGAGCAGCTTCAATGGACTCGGAGAATCGCGTTGCTAACTTGCTTAATTGCCTCCTGTTTGGATTTTCTCTCTCCTTCCAGCTTTAGCCTTTTAATTGATTTTTTTGTTTATTGAAAGTTCCCACAAGTCACAACATAGGCAAAATTGGCCGTCAATTCATTCAACCAAGACAGATTGATATGAGATGAGAGATCTAACTGTGAAGATGGTAACAGTAGTGAGTCGCTGCCTTCTCTTTCCTCTCCCTCTATTTTTTTTCCAACTTCTCTCTCGTGCCCTAATGTGGGGGCTAGTATACTAATTTATTATTATTATTATTATTTTTTTGTATATACTAATAAATTTTTCCTTTTTTTTTTTGGGGGGCCAGGCCCTGTTGGCCTACCCCTGCCCTTAACAATTACATATAGTTGCAAAATGACTATTTTTCATTTAATAATCATAGTACCCTTTCAATAAGCCTATCACTTCTCTATATTGGTATATATAATTCATTGATTAGGTTTTTTTCTTATATTTTTATTTTAGGAGATGATGACATGGATAGGCCTATTGCTTGCATTCTTGGGCTTGACAGGCTGTTGCGACGTCGAGACCTACCAAGCATTTGTAGATATGAAGACGTTCATCATCCATTCCTACAATTCTTGATCAACCAAACATCAGCCATGACTCAAGCCTCTACCCTCATGGCTCACACTCAACACTTTCGATGAACTTGAATCACCTGTCATCCCTAAACTTGGCTCTCTTTTTTCCAAAATTTACACCATTGGTCCTCTTCATGCCCTCTTTAAGTCTCGAACCAAACATCACACACAGTCAGATTCATCAAACGGTAGTTTGAGGGAACAGGACATGACCTGCTTGACATGGCTTGATTCTCAGCCGTCCAAATCAGTGATATACAGTAGCTTTGGAAGTGTGGCTACGTTGGCTGGTGACCAGTTATTAGAGTTTTGGTACGGCTTGGTGAATAGTGAAATGCTATTTTTGTGGGTAATAAGGGAAGATATGCTTTTGGGGGAGGATAAAATGGTTGAGACTCCAACAGAACTTGTGATGGGGACTAGGAAAAGAGGGTGCATAGTGAGTTGGGTCCCATAAGAAGAGGTCCTGGCCCATTAGGCTGTGGGTGGGTTTTTGACTCTCAGTGGGTGGAACTCAACATTGGAGAGTATTTTGACGGGCACTCCCATGATTTGTTGGCCGCAATTAGCTGACCAACAAGTGAATAGTAGGTGTGTGAGTGAGTTGTGGAAGGTTGGGGTTGATTTGAGAGAAATTTGTGATAGATCAACAGTAGAGAAAATGGTGAGAAATCTGATGGAGGGTAAGAGAGAGGAGATCATGAAATCAATAGCTGAGAAATCGAGACTGGCTTGTGACAGTGTCAAGGAAGGTGGATCCTCTTATTGCAATTTAGAAAAGTTAATTGAAGACATTCGATCAATGATGTCAACTAAGAACACTTCTTTGGAAATGAGTGAACATTGAAGAAAATTAAAGTGTATTTTATGCCTTCAACACTTCTTAATTTGCATGGATTTCCTCCTTCAAGCTCAAACCAACGTACTGTTTCAGGAGACTTTGTAATCTTTCAAAAACTATCGTTCATAGCTTTGGCTGTTGCTCTTCATAACCCTTCTTTCTATTGTGGTCTTTATTTCTGCTCATTAAATTGGAAATGATATGTTGGTCTGCTTTTGAATATAATTTTGACTGCTCTTTTAATTTTTTTTTTGGCTGGTACCGGAACTCACCTGGGCAGGGATCCTTTAGGATCCAACCTGGGTTACAAATCAGAGATGCTGTTGACGGCCCCACACCTCAACAACAATTTTAGTCGTCAATTATAACGGCGATGACTGCTCTTGTTGTACTCTGGTTTTTGTTGTTTTTTTAGTCTTTTTGTTGCTATTTGCTTTTAGCCTTACTGGTTTTCTTAATTTGTGGTCTGCTATGACCTGTTGGATTTGTCCTCCCACTAGCTTCTTTTGTTTTGCAGCTTTCTTTGATTTATAAAATCTTATTTACCTAAGAAATATATTTATGCCTCATATTTAGCTTCTGTGTCTGTTTTCTCACACAGAATTTTGTCTATGTTTGTATTGTGTGTGCATGCTATATATTCAATATTCAAACACATATAAAGACAGTAAATTCGGAATGGTAAAAAATAACGAAAACATATAGAGTGGCAGAATTTATTTTTAAAAAATTGTTTTCTTATTTATTATTTATTGATTTTAAAATAACAGATGATGTGTGTATTTGTAATTGGACAACATAAGTGGTCACCACATATATTAGGAGCATTTTGGGTCGCTTTGTCAAGAAACATTGAAGAAAATTGAAGTGTTGAAGGCAAGATTTATTGCATAGATTTCATCTTTTTAGTTCAAATCGACTGTTTTAACTTTTAGGAGTCTTGAAAACTATCTTAGTTTTTGCCGCTAGTCTTCACACCCTTTCTATTATGATCTTTAGTTCTGCAGATGAAGTTGGAGATGATATCTTATTTCGCTTTTGAATGCAGTAATGAAAAAAAAGCAATCACTTCCTCTATACCGTTGATATTGATATATTATAATTTTGTCCTTATAATTTTTTTTTTTGTATTAAAAATATTATATATATATATATATATATATATATATATATATATATATAAACCAAACTATAAGTTATCTTATTACCACTAGATATCCCTTTATATTATTCTTGTTTAAAAACATCTATCTATTATTGTAAATTTGTAATTTTTCTATAATAATATTAATTCTTAAGTTTTAATTGACATGTTAGATTTTGTTCTTATACACATAAAATAAAAATAAAAATATTATTATTATAGTTGAAAAATAGTTTCATATTTACCTTTGTTAACGCAACTTATAAAAAAGAATTTGTGAAGTGAACTGGTCATAACTTTTTTGTAGACTGTTTTCCTAATTTGATGGAACCTGATCACTGTTTCACTAGTCACTTTTTAATTTTCATTATTATTATTATTTTGCTTCCTGCCAAAAAATTGTTAAAGTAGGGGTGATATTCATTAATTATAATTTGAAAAAAAAAAAAAAAAAAAAAAAGTAATCAATGAGAGCGCAACTGTGGATGCAGTCATGCTTGCAACTGTCGTTAGCTCATTGTAAAATTATTTATGTTGCCATGGTTAATCCTCTCCATCGATGATTGGATAAAAAACAAAAAACTGTCTATGATTGGGTACCCAATAATTTCCCATTCCAGCTCATGAAGTGCAGTACTACAAACTCATTAGTTAATTAAAGATCATTTACCATAATAATCACACTTCTCACTTACACGTAAAGAAAACTTACACAACACTCATTTTGAAATACCTTGAATAATATATAATTTACGCAAAGACAAGTTTCAAATTTCACTTAAAAGATTGCGCAAACAAAATAATTTTTCCATATACCTAAAATATTTTCGGTTGCTTTGAACTCACGGATTATTTATAGCCACCATTCTGCCCTTTGCAAACATATGCAATGACATCAGCTGACAGAGTTCAATTTGAACTCAAACACATGTTTTCCGCAAGCCACAATTCTTGACTTGACTTTTCTTCTAGTTGTTTTATGCCACAATTTGTGCCAAATTCTAACAGAAACCCATGGTGTGGAATAAAAGGACCAACCTCTCATAGATAAAATAACTTTGGGTACAGGTTGCTGCTATACTGATGGAGACTTGTACCAATAATTATTCAGTGTGTGTGTGAGAGAGATAATTTCCTTTTGACTTGATCAATTACGTTGAAGTCGATCTACACAACTGTCTTCAGCCTTCACTGCGTTCATCATTCGGTGTACACCATCTTCCTAATTAATTCGATCCCAACTCAATTAAGCAGCAGGAAGGTGATGGGATATGGATGTTTCTCAGCCTCACGTAGTGATTTTGCCTTTCCCTGTACAAGGACACATCAAACCCATGCTAATGCTAGCACAGCTTCTTTGCAATGCCAATTTCTATGTCACCTTTGTAAACACACATCACAACCACAATCTCATGTTCAAATTGATCATCAACAGTACCACTTTCAAGGCCCTCTTTCCTACACTCCGTTTTGAGGTCATCCCAGATGGACTTCCACCTGAACATCCACGCTCTGGTCCACAATTCCTTGACTTAATGTTCTCTATTGTGTTTGCGCCCAAGGCCAAGTTCAAGGACATATTGTTATTGGGCCAAGAAACAGGGCATTGGCCGCCACCCACATGCGTAATAGCAGATGGAATGATGTCTTTCGCCATTGATGTTGCAGAAGAGCTCCACATTCCGGTCATCACTTTTCGAACCCATAATGCTTCCTCCACCTGGCTTTACTTCCATATTGAAAACCTCATTCAACAAGGAGAAATTCCATTTCAAGGTGAGTCAAACCAATTGGGTTCTCCTAGCCCAATTTTTTTTTAACATCTATATATATTCAAGGTGTCTTTTTATTTTTATTTTACCCACTGATAGGGTGAGTTATATCCAATGTTTTTTTTTTCTAAGAAGAAATGAAAGCGTGTGAGTTGCAATTATTTTTTCCCTAAATTAAGATTTGTAAATTACATTTTTTTCTCCCACTTTACTTTTTAGCTTATATATATATGTATAGAGATATATATATACTCAGTGGAAGAGGAGAAATTCCATTTCAAGGTGAGTGTATTGTCACACCCCGCTACCAAGAGGCTATGCCACGCAGGTGCCACGCAGACGATGACATGGAGCCTGCATGGACTAGATCTTTCTAGACTTCTCTACACAAGTATGGAACTTTCCGGAATTCTCTAGATTAGTGTGGAGTTGTCTAGCCTTTTCTACACTTGTCTAGAGTTGTATAGAATTCTCTAGAATTCTCTAGACTTGTTTTGTACATAGTAGATAGTTCTAGAGTTGTGTAGATATTTCTGGAGGATTCTAGACACTAAATCTAGGCCACACATTTTTACATATCTAGAATGTTCTTGTAAGGCCAAAGGCCTATAAATAGGAGGTGAGAGTTCATTTGTTCCTCACCAAGCAACCAAGTTGTAATCTCTCCTCTCAAGCAATACAAGTTCTATACATTTCCAAACTCTCTTGCTCACTTGTCTAACCTCTTCCTACACACCCAAGTAAGCAAAACACTTGTCTAGCCTTAGTCTTTACTAAGCTAGCACACTCGGGTAGGCTGACTTAGCGCTTTAAAGGGGCTTGAAAGTGTCTAAGGCCGCACGGTAGCTTGAAAAGGTTCAAGTCCATGGCAGTTGGTATCAGAGCAGGGTCGTGAGGCGTCACACCTTGTGTGGAGGAAGCTATGGCGGAGCTATCAGACGTGACTGGCACTCAAGAGGAGACTCTACGTGGAAGGGAAACAAATCCCCCTCCAGGTGGAGTGAGGACGAAGGCTAGGTCGAAGGACATCATGGCGGGCTTAGAGGCACGTGTGGCAAAGATGGAGGGGTCCATAGCCAACGTGTTGGAGCAGCTTGAGGATGCTCACCAGCGCATGGATGGGCTGGAGTCGGAGGACGTTGAGGTCCAAAATGCTGTCAAAGGGTCACTCAATGCCCTAAGTGGTGACTTTCGGCAGGAGCTCCAAGCATTTCGAGAACTTATGTTGAGGGAGTTTGCCACCCTACGTGGCTATGTTGATCAGGAGCTTGGCACTTTTCGCGAGCAAATGGAGGAAATGCGAGTGGACTGGACATTGTGCAAACGGGCGGTGGCATCCGACACAGCTACTACAGGGGTAATAGCACCCCGGGTTGATATTCCCAAGCCTAAGTGCTATGGTGGGAACTGGGTAACGAGGGAGTTGGAGAACTTCCTCTTCAGCATGGAGCAATACTTTGAGGCTACGGGCATGACCGATGATACCATCAAGATACGCACGGCGACCCACTACCTCACCGACCATGCCATGCTATGGTGGAGGAAAAAGTATGGTGACATAGGCAAATGTATGGTCTCTATTGATACTTGGGCTGATTTCACTAGGGAAATTAAGAAGCATTTTTATCCTGAGAATGCCGAGGATGAAGCTAGGGGCAAACTCCGAAGGCTAAAACAAGTTGGGTCGATTCGGGACTATGTGAAGGAATTCACTAACTTGACTCTTGAGATCCCGGATTTATCCGACAAGGACTCTCTTTTCTTCTTCATGGATAGATTGCAGTTGTGGGCTAAGACGGAGTTGAGGCGGCGCAACGTGCAAGACCTTGCCACAGCTATTGCAGAGGCGGAGTCCTTTATTGATTTCAGCTCCAAGAAGGAACCCTCGTCCAAGCCAAAAGACAAAGACAAGGACAAGGGGAGGTATGCCGGCAAAGGTGGGGGAGACAAGGGCGTTGCACCCCACAAGGATTGGTCCCGTAAGCCAGGTGGTGACCATGGAAGCAAAGAGGGAAGGGAGAACAAGGAAGGAGCACCCAAGCCTAAGGGTTCTTGCTTCATATGTGACGGACCACATTGGGTACGAGATTGCCCAAAGCGGAAGACCCTCAATGCCATGATGAGCCGCTATGAAGAGCAACAACAGGAGGAGGCGCAGATGGGTTCACTGCAAATCCTTAATGCCATTAAGGCTAAAACTGAAGTCCCTAAGGTGGTGGCTAAAGGGCTAATGTTCGTGGAGGCGAGTATCAATGGGACACCCACACATGCTTTGGTGGACACGGGTGCATCCCACAACTTTGTGAGCCTTGACGAGGCCAAGAGGTTGGGCCTCAAGTATAGCAAAGAAGGGGGCTCCATAAAGGTAGTTAACTCGGTGGCAAAGGCTATACATGGCATGGCACACGGCGTCCAAGCATGCATTGGCGAGTGGAGTGGCCACATAGATCTATCGATGGTACCCATGGACGACTTCAAACTAGTTCTTGGGTTGGGGTTCTTAGACAAGGTGAGAGTCTTTCCCATTCCTTTTGCTAACACTATGTGTATTATGGAAGGCAACACAGCATGCATGGTGCCGATGGAGCGAGGCGCCAAGTTGGAAGCCCAAGCTTTGTCAGCTATGCAATTCAAGAAAGGCTTCAAGAAGGGAGAGACTAGCTACCTTGCCACGTTACTGGAGACACCCGAAGATGAGCTAGTCCCTTCCCCACAAGAAGAGGTGCCTAAGGAGATACGAGCCGTGCTAGACGAGTACACGGACGTGATGCCTAAGGGGCTGCCCAAGAAGCTTCCACCTAGGAGGGAGGTGGATCATAAGATTGAGCGGGAACCGGGTTCTAAACCCCTTGCTTTGGTGCCCTATCGGATGGCACCCCCAGAGTTAGAGGAGTTGCGGAGGCAACTTAAAGAACTGTTAGATGCGGGCTATATTCGACCATCGAAGGCCCCATATGGCACACCGGTGTTGTTCAAGAGGAAGAAGGACGGGTCCTTGCGCATGTGCATCGACTACCGGGCGCTCAACAAGGTGACTATCAAAAACAAGTACCCCATTCCTCTCATTGCCGATCTCTTTGATCAGCTTGGTGGAGCACGCTACTTCACTAAGCTTGACTTGCGCTCGGGGTACTACCAGGTGCGGATAGCGGACGGGGATGAGCCTAAGACTACGTGTGTGACGAGGTATGGCTCTTATGAGTTTCTTGTTATGCCGTTTGGCCTCACCAATACACCTGCTACTTTCTGTACTTTGATGAACAAGCTCTTCCATCCCTACTTGGATCGCTTTGTGGTGGTGTACTTGGATGATATTGTTGTGTATAGCACCACTCTAGAGGAGCACATGCAGCACTTAAGGGCGGTCTTCCAAGTCCTACGGGAGAACGACCTATATGTAAAGACGGAGAAATGCTCCTTTGCCTAAGAGGAGGAGTTGTTCCTAGGGCATAAGATACGGGATGACAAGTTGATGATAGATGAGGCAAAGGTGAGGGCCATTCAAGAGTGGGAGCCGCCCTCTAAGGTGACAGAGTTACGCTCATTTCTTGGGCTTGTCAACTACTACCGCCGCTTTATCAAGGGTTACTCGGCGAGAGCAGCCCCATTGACAGACCTTCTCAAGAAGGCGCGTGCTTGGAGTTGGACAGAGTCATACCAAGGGGCATTTGATGACTTGAAGAGGGCAGTTACAGAGGAGCCGGTATTTAGCTTGCCCGACCACTCCAAACCATATGAGGTGCACATAGATGCATCAGACTTCGCTATTGGGGGCGTGTTAATGCAGGAAGAACACCCCATAGCTTATGAGAGCCGCAAGCTTAATGACACCGAGCGGCGCTATACGGTGCAAGAGAAAGAAATGACGGCGGTCATCCATTGCCTACGTACTTGGAGGCACTATTTGCTCGGGGCACAATTTGTGATCAAGACGGATAATGTTGCCACCAGCTACTTCCAGACACAGAAGAAGCTTAGCCCCAAGCAAGCTCGTTGGCAGGACTTCCTAGCGGAGTTCACTTATCATTTTGAATATAAGTCGGGCAAGGCCAATGTTGTGGCGGATGCGCTTAGTCGCAAGGCTGGGCTCGCAGCTATTAGTCGGCCACAGCACCCTCTTGTGGAGCGGATCAAGGAGGGGTTGCAGCATGACCCTCTAGCCAAAAGCCTTATTCAGCTGGCTAAGGAAGGGAAGACTCAGCGCTTTTGGCTAAGGGATGATTTACTTCTCACTACAGGAGACCGAATCTTTGTGCCCAGGTGGGGCAACTTACGAAAGGAGCTAATAAGGGAGTGCTATGACACTAAATGGGCTGGTCACCCAGGTATGCGGCGCACACTAGCACTCCTAGAAGATTCTTACTATTGGCCTCGGATGCGTGATGACGTGGAGACATATGTGAGGACTTGTCTTGTGTGTTAACAAGACAAGATTGAGCAACAGCATCCTACAGGCCTATTAGAGCCATTGCCTATTCCAGAGAGACCATGGGAGAGCGTCTCTATGGATTTCATCACTTGCTTGCCCAAGTCAGAAGGTTGTGAGAGCATTATAGTGGTAATAGATCGGTTCAGCAAGTATGCCACCTTCATACCCGCACCAGCAGACTTCACAGCAGAGAGGGCAGCAGAGTTGTTTGTTGACCATGTGGTCAAGCTTTGGGGAGTTCCGCAGAATATTGTCAGTGATAGAGACCCGCGTTTCACGGGTAGATTTTGGACGGGACTCTTCAAGAAGATGGGGACGGATCTCAACTTCTCTACGAGTTTCCACCCCCAATCAGATGGGCAAACGGAGCGCATCAACGCTCTTCTGGAGCTTTATTTGAGGCACTATGTGAGTGCTAATCAGCGAGATTGGGCCAAATTCCTTGGGGTGGCACAATTTTCTTATAACCTGCAGCGAAGTGAGGCTACCAATCACAGTCCATTTGAGGTTGTTACCGGACGGCAGCCTATGACACCCAACGCCATTACTTCGACTTGTGATGGTAAGAGTTCGGCGGCCTACAAATTTGCCAAGAGGTGGCATGAGCAGTCTGACTTGGCTAGGGCGTACCTTGACAAGGTGGCAAAGAAGATGAAGGAGTGGGTTGACACCAAGCGAAAGCGGGTGGAGTACATAGTGGGAGACCAGGTGATGGTTAAGCTACTACCCCAACAATTTAAGTCCTTCCGGAGCGTGCATAAGGGGCTAGTAGGAGGTACGAGGGCCCGTTCCCCATCGTCAGCGGGTGGGCAAGGTCTCTTACATGGTGGAGCTTCCACCCAAGTTGAAGATACATCCAGTCTTCCATGTCAGCATGCTCAAGCCTTATCATGAAGACACGGAAGACCTTACTCGGGGCATATCGCTTAGGGCACCCACGGCCGTTGTCACATCCTTTGATAAGGAAGTTGATTGCATCCTTGCAGATCCTGTGATGAGCAGGAGATGTGTGCCCAAATATACAGAGTATTTAGTGAAGTGGAAGAACCTGCCAGATAGCGAGGCGAGCTGGGAGCACGAGGATACACTATGGCAGTTCGCAGAACATATCCAGCGGTTCAAGCAAGAAGACGCGACGAGGGCGTCGCGAGCTTAGGTGGGGGAGAATGTCACACCCCGCTACCAAGAGGCTATGCCACGCAGACGCCCAGCAGACGATGACATGGAGCCTGCATGGACTGGAGCTTTCTAGACTTCTCTACACAAGTGTGGAACTTTCCAGAATTCTCTAGATTAGTGTGGAGTTGTCTAGCATTTTCTAGACTTGTCTAGAGTTGTATAGAATTCTCTACAATTTTCTAGACTTGTCTTGTACATAGTAGATAGTTCTAGAGTTGTGTAGATATTTCTGGAGGATTCTAGACACTAAATCTAGGCCACACATTTTTACATATCTAGAATGTTCTTGTAAGGCCAAAGGCCTATAAATAGGAGGTGAGAGTTCATTTGCTCCTCACCAAGCAACCAAGTTGTAATCTCTCCTCTCAAGTAATACAAGTTCTATACATTTCCAAACTTTCTTGCTCACTTGCCTAACCTCTTCCTACACACCCAAGTAAGCAAAACACTTGTCTAGCCTTAGTCTTCACTAAGCTAGCACACTCGGGTAGGCTGACTTAGCGCTTTAAGGGGGCTTGAAAGTGTCTAAGGCCGCACGGTAGCTTGAAAAGGTTCAAGTCCGTGACAGTATGCTTACATGTGAACTTGTTAGTAACTTAGATCTTATATATATATATATATATATATACACACATACAATTCTTGGGTCCAACTCAGGTGGATGAAGTTTGTCCAACCTGATTACGTGGCCCAATTAAATTGTGACACCTGTCCGAAATAATATAAAATTAAATTGGGCATTGCCCATCAATTTCCGGGTGTAACCCGTTCCCAGTTCATTCTCTCCTTTTGCCGGGCACCTCTCCATCCCCAATTTCTCAGTTCTCTAAACTCCATCTGTGTATACTGAATCTCATTCCTGTGGTTGTGGTTGTGGTTGTGGTTGTGTACTGAATTCCTGTGGTTGTGTGAATCTCATTCTCTGGTTGTGTACTGAATTTTTCAGTATCACTGTACCCTTTTTGTGTATTCAATTCTCACCTCTCTTCTATAAATTCCCTTCACCTCTATTTTCCCACTCACTCCAACCCAGTCGGTAGTCATAACACAAACATATTCTCCTATATTGATTCTTGAGATCATCAAGAATAGCTATGAAGGAAAAGGTTAAAGCAAAGAGTAGTGATGTCAAGGAGGTGCATTACAGAGTGAGAAAGAGGCCTATGGCCATGAGGGCGATACGCCGAGAGATCCCGGAAGGAAGAGCCGGGTCTGGTTGGGGACCTTTGACACAGCGGAAGAGGCGGCGAAACCCTACGCCGCCGCCATCAGGGAATTCCGAGGTACCAAAGCCAAGACCAACTTCCTTCTGCCTTCGGAGATAGTCGCAACAGACAAGAGCCCGAGCCCGAGCAGCACGGTGGAGTCTTCCAGCGGAGATGGGATTTCTCACGCGCCGCCTTGGTGAAGGCCTCGGTGTCTTTTTATTCGATCTATCACCACCTGCCGAGTCTAGCAGTTGTACCCCATGCGCAACCTGTGATGTTCTACAATGGGCTTGTACGGCTACGGGCGGCGGAGCAGAAACAGGCGTTCCTGTTTGAAACGGCGGTTACTGGTTTCAATGGCAGGGTACAGAGTGAGTCGGACTCGTCTTCTGAAATTGATTGTAACCAAGTTGCCAATAGTCGTACAAAAAAGAGTTCTCCATCTTGATATTAACCTGTCCCCATCTCGAGAGATCTGAGGCTTTGTTTGGACACACAGGAAATAAAAAAAAAAAAAAAAAGAAAAAGAAAAGAAATGATTATAAGAGAAAAGAAAAGAAAGAAAATGATAGCTCTAAATTATATTCATGTTTGGATAGATAAGAAAGAAAAGAAAGAAATTGACAATATTGTTGTTTGGATAACACAAAAGAAAGAAAAGAAAGAAATTGATAATAAAAAAATTACCATCTAACCCTTTTTGGTGATGGGGTTGAATAGTTTCCATTTTCTCTCTTGTTTTACTTGGGTTCAGTTCTTCATGTTCTGGGGTTCATATTCTACTGTATCTTTTGCTCCACCTGTCTGTGGCTCATCGTAGAGGACTCTAATTGTCTATTTTATTGCCTTTGCTTTCTTGATTTTATTTTTATTTGTCAAAAACTTTTTGTTACTCTGTGTGTTATTTTTATCTGTGTGTTATTTTATTTACATTGGCATATGCACTATGTATGTGTACATGAGTGCATTTATGTTTATAATATGGGTGGAAGGCAAATATATGCTTAGGGGGAAATTGTGGTCAATAGAAACAACACTAACCATACCTGATAGAGAGAGAGACTCGGTAAAGAGAGAGAGGAGACGATGGTGAACGTGGATGTGGAAGCGGTGGACTTCGAGCCCGAAGACGATGATATAATGGATGAAGATGGTGCCGTCGACGTCGATGCGTAGCCCAAAGCTACTCTCCCAAAGCTTAAATCCGCCATCACCGGTGCGTATCCCAAAGCTGCTCTCTCATGGACGAAGATTGTGCCGTTGATAATCTCATGGAAGGCTAATTTTGTCTCTCTCTTTCACTTGCTTCCTTTCCCCTCAAATCTTCTCAAAGTTGAGGGGATTTGATTTCACTGTGCAGGAGGGATTCAGAGGGATAGCCTATTCCTCCCAATCATTTCTTTTCTTCTCAATTCTCTCCACCCAAACACACTAAACTCTATCATTCCCTTTCTTTTCTCTCCAAATCTCTCCAATTCCCTCAATCCAAGTGAGGCCTAAGAAATTGGGATGGAGAGATGCGAGGCAGAATGAAAGAATGTACTGGGAACGGGTTATACCCGGAAATTGATGGGCAATGCCCAATTTAATTTTATATTAATTTCAGACAGGTGTCACAATTTGATTGGGCCACCATCCAACCTGATTGTATCATTTACAATTTTACATACAAAAATCTAATACTAGTAGCTAGAACAAATATTAATGATAGTAAGAGGGATGTCTTTAGTATACTAACGAGCTCTCCATTTCTAATTGTTTGATTAAAAAAATCTCAACCAAGAGATGCAGAAAGAGGAGAGAATGAAACAAGCAAATCTTTCCTCCTCCTCCTTTTTTTATTTTTATTTTTTATTTTTTATTTTTTTTAAAACGTAAAGTCTACATTCTCGGCAGTTGACAACTTTCACAAATTTTTCTAATCCAACGGCTAGAACAAATATCTAAAGTGGATATTAATTCCTAGTCTACTCCTGCAATCCAACACATAACAAATATATTGTATTCATAGTCTCAAACTCTCTCTATCAGTATAACTCATTGATTAGGCTTTTGATTTTAGCAGATGATGACATGGATAGGCCTATTGCTTGCATTCCGGGTTTTGAGAGCCTCTTGCGACGTCGAGACCTACCAAGCATTTGTAGACTTGAAGACGCCCAAAATCCAATCCTACAATTCTACATCACCCAAACATCAGCCATGACTCGAGCCTCTGCCCTCATACTCAACACTTTTGATGAACTCGAATCACCCATCATCTCTAAACTTGGCTCCCTCTTTCCTAAAGTCTACACCATTGGTCCTCTTCATGCCCTCTTCAAGTCTCGAACCACACATCACACAGAGTCAGATTCATCAAATGGTAGTATCAGAGAACAAGACATGACCTGCTTGACTTGGCTCGATTCTCAGCCGTCCAAATCAGTAATATACGTTAGCTTTGGAAGTGTGGCCATTTTGACTCGTGACCAGTTATTAGAGTTTTGGTATGGCTTAGTGAATAGTGAAAAACCATTTTTGTTGGTAATAAGGGAAGGTTTGCTTTTGGGAGATGATAGAGTGGTTGAGAATCCAGCAGAGCTTGAAGTGGGAACTACAGAAAGAGGGTGCATAGTGCGTTGGGCCCCACAAGAAGAGGTCCTGACCCATCGGGCTGTGGGTGGGTTTTTGACCCACAGTGGGTGGAACTCAACGTTGGAAAGTATTTTGGCGGGTATTCCAATGATTTGTTGGCCAATATTAGCGGACCAACAGGTGAATAGTAGGTGTGTGAGTGATTTGTGGAAGGTTGGGGTTGATATGAAGGACATTTGTGATAGATCAACGGTTGAGAAAATGGTAAGAAATCTGATGGAGGGTAAGAGAAAGGAGATCATGAAATCAATAGCTGAGAATTCGAAAATGGCTTGTGACAGTGTGAAGGAAGGTGGGTCCTCTTATTGCAACTTAGAGAAGTTAATTGAAGACATTCGATCAATGGAGGTCAACAACTAAGAATATTGCTCATGTTGGAAATGAGTGAAGGAAATTGAAGTATTGAAGGAAGGCAGTTTCAGGAGTCTGGCTTGTAAACCTTTCAGAAATCATCTTTGGCTGCATGTTGCTATACATGGCCTTTAGTTTTGCTGATATGTTAGTCTGCTTTTGAATGTAGTTTTGGCTCTTCTTGTTGTTTTCTGGTTTTTTGTTGTTGTTTTTTAGTGTTCTTGTTTGGTCTGCCATGACCTGTTTGATTTGTCCTCCTACTAGCTAGCTAGCTTGTTTTGCTTTGGAGCTTTCTTTGAAATAAAAAATCTTATCGATCAGAAAAGGAAAATTTTTATTTATGTCTCGTATTTAGCCGCATGTGTTTGTGTGTTTTCTTTTCTCGAAAGAAGACTAAAATACTACTGGACAAAATTGTGTCGTGCTATATTGGTGATATCAAAACACCAATATATAAAGACAGTAAAATGAATATTACTTAGTTTTGCTTCTACCAAGTCTTGAAAAATCATTAGTCTATTCTCATGTATTTGACAAATGAATGATTCATGAAGGAAAATGGATCATATAGAAGCTTTAAAGTCAGGTTAGTGAGAGTTTGTGGAAGTCCAAAAGTCATAGTGATTTTAATGATTAATACATGTTGATTAATACACGAGAAAGTAAGAGCTTCGAAGTTGCGATGAGAATGAGATTACATAATTAAATTTGGGTTTTTAGAAAACTTAAGGGTGTGTTTGGATTGTTATAAAAATACAATGAAGTTATTTTTTTTTTAATTTACATTCTCAGCCAAATGTGCTTCAAATAGTGAGCCTCCGGGAAAAGTTATTTTAAACAAAACGGTAGCGTTTAATTCCACTTGCCGGGAGAATTTTGGGTCCGAATTTTTTTTGCGGCTAACGTATTTACTACGCGTGAATAGCGTCACAATTGGTACAATTATTTCTGACAGCCCATATTGGATCGGAAAAGAGGTATTATTAGTGACCAAAATTAGGACGTCGCAAATATGGAACGTCCCAATTAAATATTTTTTTGTACTGATATAAACTTTCTCAACTGGAAAAAAATATATTTTTCTATATGCACATAATTAATGGGAAATTTGGAAATAACACCAAGTAATTAGCTTTCGCTGCTATCTTTGAAAATTCATTAAAAGCCAAGGTTAGCATAAAGCTCTCACATTAATAATGAGTTAATTAAGAAGCTAAGCATGTTAATAACAGTTTACTTGAACCCTATTTTGTTCACCCTTGTTGTCTATAAATTCCTCTTGAAATTAAGGATCATAATTCTTGGATTGGGCAATTCATTTAGTGTTTTGAATGGGCTGAAGTCGATGCCATATTAATGGTATTGGGCCGACTAATGACTCAAGACCTTTCATTCAAACTCAACTATTATTGGAGTGACATCTATAATCTTAACCTCCACGTGGCAATAAGTTACCTCCTGACTAAAGCGCTCATGCAATTGGAATGAGTGTTGTTCTGGAGATTGCTTTCTAACAAGGGCAACTCAATTCTGATGAAAGGAAAACCCTCCTATCTCCACCCTCTTTAGGCGCGTGTACTATAAGAATCCTTACATTACTAGTATGATATTTTATTTTGCTACACCAAAATTTATTTGTTTTTATTAAAAATTTTAGTTGCCTACATTTAATCATATTTGATTATTAATAATTTGAAGTACCAAAATAGTAACGGTTGTGAATTTATCCATGTTGAAATTTTAATTATAAAAAGTACAACATTATTTGAAATTATTTATATTAATTTTTATGTGATATTTGACTCACAATTTTCTTTCTTAAGTGACTAATGTCGCTTAAATCATAATGTGTATATCAATTAAATAGTTTTGTTTTTATTTTTATTTTTATTTTTATTATTGATTGAATTATCACATAAAATTTGTTATTTAGCTTAGTGTTAATTTTGAAAAAAATATGATGTGGCAGAGCGTCGCCTTCACTTTCTAAATACGAGCTTGGACATATAGAAACAAAAGGCCAATGAGAATCTCCTATTCTGTGTGCTCTCGAGCTTTTAAAACCTGTAAACTATCATTTGCCAACAATCCATCCGCGAAATGGAGATCAACGGAGTCTCGTTACATCACAACACCACACATGGCGGCGCACCACAGCCCACAGCGGCTTTCAATGGCACCGGCGGAGGCACGCACGCGCCCCACAAGATGATGATGATGCACATGACGTTCTTCTGGGGAAAAAACACACAAGTCCTCTTTTCGGGTTGGCCCGGATCGAGCCCCGCCATGTACGGGTTGGCCCTGGTCTTCGTCTTCTTCCTTGCCGTGCTCGTCGAGTGGTTCTCTCACTGCAATCTGGTCAATCCCGACTCGAACAGGCTCGCTGCGGTGCTGTTCCGGACAGGGTTGTACGCGGTCCGAACCGGGTTCTACTACATGGTGATGTTGGCGGTGATGTCGTTCAACGTCGGGTTCGCGATTTTCGGTAGTCGGGTCTTTAAGAAGTAATCGAGTAGGCAGTCGGATCCTTCAGCTATGAAGCTAGCACTGAAACTAAAAATGGAATGGGACTAAAGACAAGTGTGTGGTGTCGTGGGTCTGAATAGGCGGGTTTCCTTTCATCAGAATTTAATTGCCCTTGTTAGCAAGCAATCTCTATAACAACACTTGTTATGGGACTAAAGATAGTGGAGGCATTTGTAATTTTCAGTTGTTTAATGAATAGTGAGATTTGACTCATTTCAGAATGAGGTAGGTGTCACGAAACATGGGTTTTAATATTTAAAATTTTCTCAGTTTAGAGCATCTCTAATATTAAAAATCATTTTCGTCACTCAAATTTATATTTTGACAGGTACTACAGTATCAAAATGTTACATTTTAACAATTCTATTCTAATAGTGCATTTTATGTAAAATGCTATTTTTTGACACAGCCACCATTCTTTTTCAATTACCACTCCCAACATTCATATTTGCATCAATAATATTAATTTTAGACACATTCCAAGTCAAGTTGTAGATATTAAAAGGAAACTAAAATTAAACCTAATTAAAAAGAAGCAAAAATCTAAATATCTGGTAAAAAAAGGAACAAAAAATAAATATATATATATGTGTGTATAAATTTATATATTTGATTATATTATTATATAATTTTTTTTTCTTTTTCAGAAATTCATATATAATATATATATATGTATGTATATTATATATATTTGATTATATTATTATTAAAAATATATATTTATTTAGGGCAAATCATTTCAGCCTCCCCAATCGCCTCCATCTCTATTCTCGTTCTCAACTCTGAAATTGCCGCCCCTCTCTCTCTCTGTGCAACTGCAAACTACAAAATCAACAAGAATCAGAAGTTCAAAACCCATATCTTTCAGTTTCCATTGCCTATTGTTCCAGTTCGGGTTTGCCGTTCGCAAGCTTCAGCCGCTATCTATCAACTCTCAAGCTTGCCCCCCTCTCTCTCTGCAACTTCGTATCACAACCTCTGACATCGACTCGTCTATTCGCATTTGTTTTGTTCATCTCCCCATCGCACCAAAAACACATAACATGGCAAAAACGCCGACGTAGGATTGGAGATTAAGGTCCATCAGTTTCCATTGCACCTGTTCCAGTCAAGCCAGCTTCGCAAGAGAGGGTTACTGAGGACGTGAGAAGGAACGGCAACGTAGGATTGGAGATCGAGGTCCATCAGTAACCCTCTTTTCACCATCGATTGTCTTCCTCTGGTTCAGATCGGCTGATTTCCCGAAACTTTTCTCTCAGTATATTGCAATAGATGATGAGAGAGAGATGCGAGTTTCAGATTGTGATTCCAAACAGCATCGTATTGGCAAATGAGAGACTTGCCAAAAAAAATTGGCAGCTGCTACATATGAGAGAAAATTTGAGAATCTCAAATTTTAAGAGCAAATGAGAGCCCATTGGAGAGGGCTTTTTTTACCCAACTCTCATATTTTGAATTTGAAAGCTCAAATGAGAGAGCATTGGAGATACTTTTAGTTATATTTTGAATAGGGCTTTGCTTAAGTGCAGAAGCAGACAAAAGCATCATTTTAATGTAAACTATAATTATTCGTGTTAAGCCATTCATCACAAATAAACATGAATCCCATAATCTTGGAACTTCATTATTTTCACATATTTATAATGCATAAATAAATACTAGTTAGATATAAATACATCGATTCACGATATCAAATCTTGTTGAGATTAAGTTCAACGTATAGATCCTTTAACCACGAACTAATCTGCAACTCTGATCAACAGGCAAAGGTGGAAACTGGTTTTTCTCTTTTGGCCTTTTGCACACATAAAACTTTTACGTGTTGTATCATTAATCGTACATAATTGACGGAGTATATGCACTTTTATAAAGGCAGAGAGAGGACCAGTATTCCTTTTAGTAATACAATTCTACTTTCCATCAAAATAAAGAATAAGAAAGGAAAACGCTTCTCCAATAAATAATTACCGAAAAGGTAATTATAAGTTAACCAAATAATATAATATTAATCTGATACCTATTTACTTAACTATTAATTAATGAAATATCACATGTCCAAAACATGTGGGCCACACAATTAATAAATAATCTTACATTCTCCCACTTGGCCCATATGATAACTTCTGTAGTGGTTTAGTAAAATAGTTATTAGTGTGCACCATAAATCAAATTAACTCATTAAATTGATCATCATAAATACCATGGTAAATAAACTACCAATGCGAGTCATGGCGGTTATATGTCCTTAAATGACACAGTCCCTTCCATGTACCACAACACTAGTAATCTATTTAACATAGTCTATAAAGAAGTTTCAATACTGATCTAACAATAATGTCTTTTCCAATACTATTCCTATTACCATTTATTAAAGCAATACTTACATGTACATTAATTAATAGGAAATATCATAAACACATTTAATTAGCACAAAATGTCAAGTATATATAAACACTGTTAAACAATCCACAATTACAAATAATCATCATTAACTACATTCAAGACTCATTCTTTCAACATGTTCCATAAATGGGTCTTGGGTGGTAGTTCATTCGTTAATGGATTGCAATCATAAATTGTGTGCTTATATATTCAAAAGACATTCGTTGTTTCTAAATATCTTCTTTAATGATAAAGTATTTCAACTTTAAAGTACCTATCATTTTTCATACAAGAAGATCAACAATTACAACATAAATTTTCAGCAATCTAAAAATAGTACCCATAATTCCAAGTTCTGAAATAAATTCTGTAACCATAAATTGTAGCCTCAAAGCATGCTACAAATTAAAATTTCATAATAGACAAAGTAATCATAAATTACTTTGCACTTTTTCATAATATTGTTCCTCCAACCAAATCTTCTAGAACTCTCTTAATATATGCTTTATGAGACAATTCTAAAAAAAAAATCAATGTGATCTATTATAAAATATTTCTATTCCTATCACGTATGATGCCTCATCCATATATTTCATTTCAAAGTTCCTAGAGATAACTTTTAGTCTCATATAATAAACTAAGATTACTACTAGCAAATAAAATATCATAAATATATAGAATCAGAAATATAAACTTACTCCCACTAACCTTCTAGTATATACACTGATTAACAGTATTTTCCTTAAAACTAAAAGGAATAATGGTATCATTAAACTTAATACACCATTGTTAGAAAGCTTGTTTAAATTCATATATTGGCATTTTAAGTTTACAGACCATAAATTCTTTACGCTTGGGTCTAAATCTCGTCGAGGTACCCCTCTATCAACAATCTCCCGCAACAACATCACCACTTCTCTTTGCATGCCCTCTAACTGCTCCATTCTATGAGATAAAGCATTGTGAGCTTCGACCAGGGCATCAGGATAGATAATCCTGGTCCCAGGAAAATACAACCCAGGCATACTCACAGATCCGTTATACCCCTCATCTAAAGCAGGGCTAGTTTGAGAAGGTGGACTGATCTCCCGTATGCTTGACATATGCGAAGCGCTCCTCCCTAGTGAAGTCGCCAAAATGTTGATGATAGTTCATGAGTATGATGAGGAGATCGTTCCACGTAAGCCAAGAGATCTGAGATCAGTATCCAAGTGGAGATCCAAGCAACACAAGGGATTCTCTAAGTATGAAGATTAAGAAAGGGAAGGCCGACCTCGGTACCGTGCAACCTCGAGCTTGTCAGAGGATAAGTGTTAATGTGGTAGTTGTGTGTGTTTAAGACTGATTAACACCCCTATTTATAGTGTTTTCCTCCTCGGTCAATATCTTTTGGTCATTTAGCTGAGCCCGCTCTTGTCCACAGGTTTAATGGTCTCTTCCTCTGACGGATAAGACACTGATGGATGGGTAGCGGCGCTTTGCCCCCCGGTCAAAGGAGGTAGCGGCGCTCCCTAATTAATGCGGATCTTATCAAATGTCTTTCGCAATTAATGCATTGCTTATCCTTTATCGCTCGAGCTTAGATACCGGGTATCATTTCCCCCTTGTGCTGGCCTCGGACTGAGGTGACCCCTTAGATCTCAGCCACTTATCCACATGTCCTCAGATTCCTGTGCTTCTGTGGGGATAAGCCCCTTTCGAGGTCCTGCCTTCATAACCTCACGGGTTCCCATCCTGGTTCTATCCCGAGGTCTTCTTTGCCAAGAAGTTCCGCGTGTACACAAGTTAGTTGAGGTTGCTCTTTCAGAGAGCACCCTCGAGCGAGCCAGGGGGGAGGAGCCCATCCGACTGGAGCGGGGTGCGTCCTTAACCAGTGAGTTCCGTTATTGGATAGGTACCTCAAGAATACCTAATCCACCACAGGCACGCCAGGTCAACACTGGCCAGTTGTGCCTATATTGCCGAGGTGGTGCCACTTAGTCAGCTATCGTGGCGCGGTCATCAACAGAGTCCAAGGCCAAGTTCAAAGACATATTAACGGGTCTACATCAACAACAAGAATGGTCACCTCCGACGTGTATAATAGCATATGGAATCATGTCTTTCACCATTGATGTTGCAGAACAGCTCCATATCTCGGTCATCACTTTTCGAACCTACAATGCTTCCTGCACCTGGCTTTACTTCCATATTCAAAACCTCATTCAACAAGGAGAAATTCCATTTCAAGGTGAGTCAAACCCCTAGCCCAATTTTTTTTCTTAGCCCCCTTGTGAAATTGTTCACACACACACACACACACACACACACACACACAAGTATATATATATCTCATAATTAACATCTATGTTCAAGGTGTCTTTTTATTTTTATTTTACCAACTGATAGAGTGAGTTACATCCGGTGTTTTTTTTTTTTTTTTCTAAGAAGAAATGAAAGCGTGTGAGTTGCAATTATTTTTTCCCCTAGATTAAGATTAATGTTATTGCATAAAAGAATTATAATATTGTTATTTCTAAATTACATTTTTTTCTCCCACTTTACTTTTAGCTTATATATATATGTATAGAGATATATGTACTTAATCGAAGAGGAGAAATTCCATTCCATGGTGAGTGTAAGATATTGGTTTACATAGGCTATATTTTTCTTTGCTTACATGTGAACTTGTTAGAACTTAGATCTTATATATATATATATATATATGCAGCTATAACATCCATCAGCTTTCGCTCACCAAACGCCTCGTTCTTCAATGAAAAACATACATATTAAGGCTGTTGTCAACCTGTAAAAAAAAACAAAACGAAAATAAAAATCACGTTTAATAAAATATTTTTATTTTTCTATAACAGAAAACGTTTTTAATTTTTGTGAAGAAAAGAGGAAACATCAAAATGATGTTTCTTATGTTTTTGGTATTGTAGCACATAAACGTTTTCACTAATGTTACTGCACAGGCACCGTTCATTTTAAATAAAATTCATATTATTTGTGTTATATACTAAGTTGTATATTAAATATTAATAAAAATATATATTTTTAATATAGAATATATTAAATATTGTATATTATTTTTTATTTTATAAAAATAAATTTTATTATATAATGTATTAAATAATAATGTAAATTTTTTTTTGTGACAAAATAATTTTTGATATAGAATATTATGTTATTAAATAATTAAGCAATAGATATTTTATATTATTATATATCATATCTATATTATATTATATGTAAATATTAAATTATAATTAATTTGCAACATTATAACACAATATATATTTTATTATATATAAGATATATTATTTAGTATTTTTTATTCATAATAAATTACCATATGCTAAATATATTATATATCACATAATAAATGTATACATCATGCATATACATGTATTTATATACATAATCGGTGGGAATATTTTTGTCATGGTATATCTAATTTTGTACTTACGATGTATTTGGTATTTTTAAGATTTATAATTTTAGATTAGATTTTCTAAATTTATGAATTTTTAATATTAATGGAAGTAAGTGTCGTGCCTGAATGGTTAGAATGCTCCCTGTATCCGAGAGTTCGTGTTCAAGTCATATACCCTCCCCCTCACCCTCCCTTCTAATCACTAACTCTAAAATTCTTGTCATGAAAAAAATAAAATAGAAATGAAAAAAATAAAAAATTTAAAGAATATTATGTACATTTTGTAGCACATATGTTGTATTACTAAACACAGTTATTGTTTTATATTTTTAAATTTGTGACAACAACAAATGTTAATAAATATCATTTCTATTTTCTATTTTTACTCAAAAAAGTAAAATCATATTTTTGTTTTCTTAAAACTACAAAAATAAAAAACGAAAACATGCACCCTAATATACAACAGTAAACTATATGATATAAAACAAGCTCGGGATGGGCTAATAAATAATCTGGCTTTTCAATCCATTCACTTTGGAATCAACGCTCTCCCTTTTTACACAAACTCTCATCCGAAGATGCGAAAGGTAATGGTTTTCCATATAAGCCAAACATGGTGTCATCTTCCATGTGAACTTGTCTCCCCTTATATTTACTCAATGAACCGTGTTGGGCCGAATAATAATTTTCCCATTGTCCCGACATGAAAGGAGATGATAGTTCCTAAAAAAAAAACAAAGGAAAAGGAACTGCTCGTCTCTCTCTTCCCGATAAAAGCAAGAAAAAATTACAGAAGAAAGTGGGTCAGTGATGCAGAAAGTGGAGAGAATGAAACGAGCAATTCTTTCCTTTTGTTTTTTTTTTAAAACGGCAGTTTTAGGACTTTCGCAAATTTCAAAATTTTACTAATCCAACTGCTTGGAGAGTTGGTCGTCAGTGTACACGACACCTTCTTGGTAGCATTACTCCTAGAACAAATATCCAAAGTGGATATTAATTGATCCTAGTTTACTCCTGCAATCCAACACATAACAAATACTCCATTGTATTCATAATCTAATACTCTCTCTATCAGTATAACTCATTGATTAGGTTTTTGATTTTAGGAGATGATAACATGGATAAGCCTATTGTTTGCATTCCTGGGTTTGAGAGCCTCTTGCGACGTCGAGATCTACCAAGCTTTTTGTCACGGGCTTAGAGTTTCAGCACCACTCTAGCTGCTCCCATGCGGCACCAAGACGTTGCTTCCACTCTCGCAAGTACTTGGTCAGCCTAACTCTCGTGTACACCTTAGCTAACACACTCCCCTCGTGCGCTTACTAGTGTTGTAGTGGCCCTCGCCCTCTCTTCACTTGGCTTGCACACTAGCACACACTAAGGCACTTAAGTTGGCAAGGAAAAAACACTTCTATTACTTCAAAGAATGCTTTGTACAAGGCACTCAAACTTTCTACAAGGCTCTCAAGACTCACTCTAGGACTTGTTCCCTACAAAATGAAGTCCTACCTCTATTTATAGACATCCCCATCCCTAATGGACGGTTAGGATGCATTCTAACCAACGGTAGAGATTGATTATCTAGAATCTTCTCCCACCTTCTTCACACTTCCATACGTATCTACTAGTATCTACAACATTATAGAATTCTCCATACTACTCCACACAACTCTGGAGAACTCTAAAACCTTCCACACACTTCTACACATATCTAGAATCTTCCACATAACTCTAGACTATTCCAGAAGACTCTAGAAACTCCCATACCATGCATCGTCCTTCTCAGCGTCTGCGTGTCGCTTGCGTGGCACAACCTCCATGGGCGGGGCGTGACATTTTTGTAGACTTGAAGACGCCCAAAATCCAATCCTACAATTCAACATCACCCAAACATCAGCCATGACTCGAGCCTCTACCCTCATACTCAACACTTTTGATGAACTCGAATCACCCATCATCTCTAAACTTGGCTCTCTCTTTCCTAAAGTCTACACCATTGGTCCTCTTCATGCCCTCGTCAAGTCTCAAATCACACATCACACAGAGTCAGATTCATCAAATGGTAGTCTGAGAGAACAAGACATGACCTGCTTGACTTGGCTCGATTCTCAGCCGTCCAAATCAGTAATATTCGTTAGCTTTGGAAGTGTGACCATGTTGACTCGTGACCAGTTATTAGAGTTTTGGTATGGCTTGGTTAACAGTGAAAAACCATTTTTGTGGGTATTAAGGGAAGGTTTGCTTTTGGGAGATGATACCGTGGTTGAGACTCCAGCAGAGCTTGAGGTGGGAACTACGGAAAGAGGATGCATGGTGCGTTGGGCCCCACAAGAAGAGGTCCTGACCCATCGGGCTGTGGGTGGGTTTTTGACCCACAGTGGGTGGAACTCAACGTTGGAAAGTATTTTAGCGGGTATTCCAATGATTTGTTGGCCACATATGGCTGAGCAACAGGTGAATAGTAGGTGTGTGAGTGAGTTGTGGAAGGTTGGGGTTGATATGAAGGACATTTGTGATAGATCAACGGTTGAGAAAATGGTAAGAAATCTGATGGAGGGTAAGAGAGAGGAGATCATGAAATCAATGGCTGAGAATTCGAAAATGGCTTGTGACAGTGTGAAGGAAGGTGGGTCCTCTTATTGCAACTTAGAGAAGTTAATTGAAGACATTCGATCAATGAGGTCAACTAAGAATATTGCTCATGTTGGAAATGAGTGAAGAAAATTGAAGGCAGGCAGTTTCAGGACTCTGGCTTGTAATCTTTCAGAAATTATCTTTGGCTGCATTGCTATACATGGCCTTTAGTTTTGCTGATTAAGTTAGAGATGATATGTTTGTCTGCTTTTGAATGTAGTTTTGGCTCTTCTTCTTGTTGTTTTCTGGTTTTTTTTTTTTTTTTGGTTGTTTTTTAGTGTTCTTGTTTGGTCTGCCATGACCTGTTGGATTTGTCCTCCTACTAGCTTGTGCCATGACCTGTTGGATTTGTCCTGCTACTAGCTTTTGTGTTTGTGTGTTTTCTTTTCTCGAATAGAAGACTAAAATACCACTGGACAAAATTGTGTCTTGCTATATTGATGATATCAAAACACCAATATATAAAGACAATAAAATGAATATTACTTAGTTTTGCTTCTACAATAGTAGAATTCTAAGAAGGTTGGACTTGAGACATATTTAACTTATAAGATTTCTCAAGGTGGATGCTTTGAGGCTCACATTGCACTGATATATATCAATCCACAATGGATCTCACCAGTAGAGCTTAACTAAACAAAGCATGAATATGACAAGATTATATGATGGTTCTAAGTTCTAACCAAAGCGATACAAATTAAGAAACATTAGGAAACTATTACTAATTAATTAGCTAATACACCGTCCAAATGAATTTCATGAAATGAAATTAGTGTTATCAGATCACTATTTTCTGCAAAGTTCAGATTATCAAAAACACTTGCCTTTTAAGAGATTGTGAAAATTAAACTTGAGCAGGTTATAAACTAAAGTCCGAATTTCGCGACAACGAACCGTTAGAATTAATTCTTGAAAAATCACTAGTCTATTCTCATGTATTTGACATATGAATGATTCATGAAGGAAAATGGATCATATAGAAGCTTTAAAGTCAGGTTAGTGAGAGTTTGTGGAAGTCCAAAAGTCATAGTGGTTTTAAATTTTTAATGACTAATACATGTTGATTAGTACATGAGAAAGTGAGGGCTTCGAAGTTGCGATGAGAATGAGATTACAGAATTAAATTTGGGTTTTTAGAAAACTCAAGGGTGTGCTTGGATTGTTATAATAATACAATGAAGTGTTTTTTTGAATTTTCATTCTCAGACAAATGTGGTTCAAATAGTGAGCGTCTGGGAAAAAATTATTTTAAACAAAACGGTAGTGTTTAATTCTACTTGCCGGGAGAATTTGGGGTGCAAAATTTTTTGGCGGCTTACGTATTTACTACGCCTGAATAGCGTCACAATTGGTACAATTATTTCTGACAGTCCCATATTGAGTCGGAAAGAATTAGTAGTGACCAAAATTAGGGCGTCACAAATATGGAACGTTCCAATTGAACTATTTTGTTGTAGTGACATAAACTTGTATAATTTAAGTCATTTTTCTCAACTGGAAAAAAAATATAAGTACGTATACTTAATTTCTATATGCACTTAATTAATGAGAAATTTGGAAATAACACCAATAATTAGCTTTCGCTGCTGTCTTTGAAAATTCATTAAAAGCCAAGGTTAGCATAAAGCTCTCACATTAAAAATGAGTTAATTAAGAAGCTAAGCATGTTAATAACAGTTTACTTGAACCCTATTTTGTTCAACCTTCTTGTCTATAAATTTCTCTTGAAATAAAGGGTCATAATTCTTGGATTGGGCTATTCATTTAGTGTTTTGAATGGGCTGAAGTCGATGCCATATTAATGGTATTGGGCCGACTAAAGACCCAAGACCTTTCATTCAAACTCAACTATTGGAGTGACATCTATAAGCTTAACCTCCACGTGGCAATAAAAGTTACCTCCTGACTAAAGCACTCATGCAATTGGAATGAGTGTCGTTATGGAGATTGCTTGCTAACAAGGGCAATTAAATTCTGATGAAAGGAGAACCCTCCTATCTCCACCCTCCTTGGGCGCGTGTACTACAAGAATCCTTACATTACTAGTATGATATTTTATTTTGCTACACCAAAATTCGTTTGTTTTTTAATCATATTTGACTATTAATAATTAGAAGTACCAAAATAGTAAATGTTTGTGAATTTATCCATGTTGAAATTTTAATTATAAAAAAGTACAACATTATCTGAAATTGTTTACATTAATTTTTATGTGATATTTGACTCACAATTTTCTTTTTTAAGCGACTGATGTTACTTAAATCATAATGTGTATATCAATTAAATAGTATGATTGGAAAAAATCTCACATGGGCACACAAAGCTATCACTTAAATGGTTTTTTTATTTTTATTTTTATTATTGATTGAATTATCACATAAAATTTGTTATTTAGGTTAGTGTTAATTTTGAAAAATTATGATGTGGCAGAGCGTGGCCTTCTAAATACGAGCGTGGCCATATAGAAACAAAAGAGGAATGAGAATCTCCTACTCTGTTCTCTCTCGAGCTTTTAAAACCTGTAAACTATCATTTGCCAACAGTCCATTCGCGAACAGTTAACAAAAAAAAAAAACAGTCCATTCGCGAAATGGAGATCAACGGAGTTTCGTTACATCACAACACCACACATGGCGGCGCACCGCCGCCAACGGCGGCTTTCAATGGCACGGGCGGAGGCACGCACGCGCCCCACAAGATGATCCTGACGCACATGACGTTCTTCTGGGGAAAAAACACACAAGTCCTATTTTCGGGTTGGCCCGGATCGAGCTCCGCCATGTACGGGTTGGCCCTGGTCTTCGTCTTCTTCCTCGCCGTGCTCGTCGAGTGGTTCTCTCACTGCAATCTGGTCAAACCCGACTCGAACAGGCTCGCTGCGGTGCTGTTCCGGACCGGGTTGTACGCGGTCCGAACCGGGTTCTCCTACATGGTGATGTTGGCGGTGATGTCGTTCAACGGCGGTATTTTTCTCGCCGCCGTTTTGGGTCACGCGGTCGGGTTCGCGATTTTCGGTAGTCGTGTCTTTAAGAAGTAATCGGGTAGGCAGTCGGATCCTTCAGCTAGCACTGAAACTAAAAATGGAATGGGACTGAAGACAAGTGTGCGGGTCTGAATAATGGGCTTTTTGGTTTTGGGTTTGAGTTTACTTAAAATAGTGGAGGCATTTGTAATTTTCAAATTTTCAGTGGTTTAATGAATGGTGAGATTTGACTCATTTCAGAATGAGGTTGGTGTCATGAAACATGGGTTTTAATATTTCAAATTTTCTGCAGATAGGGTAACATGATCTGTAGTATACTCTAGGTAGGTTTGAAGTTTGAATTTCACTACAAATTTTTACATAATTGTGAGGAGATTGTTTGAACTTTTTTCATTTTTTTCATAATTGTCGAAACGTGTGAATTAAGTTTTAAGAGGTCTGACATTATTATTATTAATTAAAAAATAATAATAATACTCCCTAATAATTATTTGTTAAAACAGAAAAATTTTTATTAGACAAATATTAAAATGTGGATCAAAAAATATTAAAAATGAAAGAGAGAGAGTTTCGAAATAATTTTAAAATTGCTCATATTGTATACTTAATTTCATTTTATAAATATTGAGATATATAACAAGAAAATTCTTAAGGCATTGGACATGAATATAGGAGTTAAGCCCAAATCTCTCTTTATTAAAAGCAAGCATTTGGGAAGCTTTGGATATGGCTTTTGATGATGAAAGCATATATCAATACTTTTGTTAGGTTAACGTTATTGTGGTTGTAGCTGGCATTGGCAATTGCTAAAGTCCAAATCATATGTTGAGTAGGATAACACCATTGTGGTATGGCACTGACGTGGGATCAATCTGAGCGGTTGAGAACATCATCTAACCAACATCACATGTGATGTGAGTTAATTAGTATTGACTCGTGAGAAAGATGACTTATATAGATTTCATAGTGACTTCTTGTGAACGTATTTTAGCCTATTTTTCAAAATTGATTATTTTAAAAACTTTAGCCACACACTTACCTTAAACATAACTCACTTCCACTCGTACCTCTCACTCCTCAGTCCTGGCCCTAATTTTATCTTTATAAGTGAAAAAGAAAAAGAAAAATGAGTAGTTGATAATAATTTAACTAGTTTAATCAAAAACAAAAATCTAAGTGATTTTACAAATTAACCCATCCTTTTATTACTCTTGCAGCTTATTATTGTTGCAAATGTCCTGACCTATTTATAGGCATCTTATTAACTTCTAAATCACTCTGCATTTATGTTTTAGATATTTACCACCCAAAAATTTTCTCAGCACACATATCGCATGCGTGACATAACTTCGTGACATAACTTTCCTAAATAAATATTAGGTGGACGTAACATCAAGTCTAAGCTCCTGTGTATTTGCAACCTTATTCTAAATTTAAACCAATCATTTGGCTTTGAACTGACTAAGTCATATTTATCATCAGTTAACATAAGATATTAGAGAAACACAAGATGTGATTAAAAAAAAGAGAGGAGAAGTTTTACGTGAGACGAAGATTGAATGTACTTAATGATGAATTATGAAGAACTTTAAGAAACCCGACCTATTATCCTTAAAAAAAAATTAATAATAATAATAAAATAATGAGATCATCAATACATATATGCACATGGAGTGCATATATGCTGTGGGATCATCAAATTTAATAAAATAAATAGTTGATCCTGAAAGTTTCAATCTTCCCTCTTTAAAAAGGAATGAGAACGCATTAGGTTCTACAATATCATTTCCCTTTTCTAAAGTGAAAAAAGATGCCATTGCTTTCAGTGACATCAGTAGAAATTGAAATTAGGGCATTGCATGGAAGGTTTCAACATGTAGGTTAAAAGTAAATGGATCTCTAACTTAAAAATTATCCTAACAATACATTAATATTATATCATCCCGCCATTGATTGCTGATTGACTGCTTCTAAATGATTCCACGCGTGATATGTCATTTTCTTTTATAACTAGTTTTATAATTTATTTTTTCTTTTTATTAGAGAAAACTTTTTTTAGCCCCAAATCGATACAGATGTAGTTGGTATTGCCATCTTGGTTTATATAAAATAGGTGTATCAATTATAACTGGTTAATTACAAACGAATTTAGAATATAAGTGTCTTTTGCATCCTAAATCCATCCTCGAATATTCTAAATTGGATGGATTTAGTCTATTTTTTACCGTATTTTTTAATTTAAAATTATTAACAAAATTGATTGGTAGGCTCGAATCTTACCCCTTGAATTCACAGTTCCAAATTTTCAAATATATATAATGACAAAAATGAAGAAACAAAAACTGCAATAATAAAAAATAAAAAATATAAAACAGGAGTCACCAAACGTTACGTTGTCTGTCTCTGTCCACTCATCGCCCTGTCCATGTTTTATCTTTGGTTCTTGCTCCTGTATGTGTGTGTGTTTTTTTGTATATATACATACACACCTACCCACAAGATTAACCTTGCAATACTCAATTAATTCATCACTCTTCTCTCTCTCTTTCCTTGCTAGAAAATGAACATGGACATGTCTCCTCCATCAATGACGCCCAGTGATCATAGCATGAAAGATAATATGGCGATGCACATGAACCTCTTCTGGGGCAAAGATGTGATCATTCTGTTCGCGGGATGGCCTGGAACAAGCCTTGGCATGTACGTGCTCGCTCTCTGCTTTGTCTTCCTTCTCGCCCTTTCTGTGGAGTTCTTCTCCTTCTCTATGGTTGTCAAGCCAGGGACCAACCCTGTGGCTGGAGGCTTGACTCAGGCTGCTGTCTACGCTCTTCGCACCGCTCTTGCCTACTTGATCATGCTCTCTGTCATGTCCTTGAATATCGGAATCTTCTTAGTTGCGGTGGCCGGCCACACCGTCGGCTTCTTTCTCGTCAAGTGCCGGGCACTTTCCATGGCTTCTCGGTCTGGGCCCGATGGCCCCACCACGTCCGCATGCATACCCAAAGTTTGATTTTCATGTCACTTGCTAGAATTCCTTACTTGAATTACGTTTATGATTTTAATCAAAGATGCGGATTCGATACACTCAAATACATGGACGCATATGCGGTGATGTATTTTTTGAATTTGAATAGTACGATCAAGTATGTAGGTGTGTCGTCGTATTTCTTGAATTTGAATATTTTTGTGTTTTTCTTCTCTATTTCACTATATGTGCTCTCATTTGTATTGTACGAAGAAATGCAAATGCAGAGGCGTAGTAAACGATGCAAAATGTTGTGTAATTTAGCAGTAATTTTTAATTTTTCTTGGGGAGAAAAATGTAAAATAAAGAATATCCATATTAGATAAGTGCATTCCGCGTAGATTTCACATCATTTAATTAATTGATTTTGTGGTCCATATTTAATTTAACCTATTGATTCGGCTTTGTGGATGAACCACTACAAGCTCAAGTGGCAGACGGGTTGATAAGACAGACGCACAGAAACTGAATCTGAGTCCTCAATATAGTTAGGACCCAAGAAGCAGACTTATAAAACATTATTATATAACCCACCAAGTAAATTGGTACATAAGGTCTCTGATTGACTTTGATGAGCAATCAAATCTGCATAGACCAAAAGATTGAACAAGGTAGGAGCCTGAACTAAGCTGAGCTTGAAGATCACACCGTTTCAACTCCGTCCATTTGCACCATTAATCCAAACACCTTACAGAGACTTGTTTGAAACAAAAGCTCAACAACACGTACAAACAAGACTGCCTCAAATCAACCAACCTTTCACTGCTTCAAAATCATTCCAACTTGAATCCAGCAAAAAATATAATAATTTGTTTCCCAGCCAACCTCTCCACTTCCCGTCTTTAACGGGAGTACCTTCATAGTTGATATTGTTTTTTCACTACATCTAGAATAGAAATCTGATAAATTGTCACCGTTAAACCTACCTGATCTGGTTGTTTTAGGTTTACCAGAGCTGCCTCTGCATTAGGTGCAGATGACTTATCAATGCAAATCATATAATAACATCAACCATTGAATTCAGAACAGTGTCAAGCATTTATTCGCATAAATATTTGAGGTCAAAAATAATAATTACCTTACGTTCATGGAGATCAAGATCTTTGACATGAATAGGGTTTGCTGTCTCATCACATCCATATGCCAATGCAGGCAAGACACCACTACAGCAATTATGATTATGATCTCTAACTGCAATTTTATTTGCTGTTGAAGGACCAAAAAATGCTGCCATAGCTACTTGGCAGCATTTATAAACAACATTTGTATTTGATATTTTAACCTATGTTGTGATAGGCACGGTAGCAATTGTATCTGCTGCCATATATGAAAAACAAATGGTAACAAATATAAATGCTACAAAAATGTGATTCATTTTGAGAAGTAATTCTTAAGTATGGTACTCCTTCCCACTTCCCTCATGAAATCAATTCTCAAGGAGAGTATTTATCAAAAGGTAAAAGAGATTTCAAATATTAAGCCTTCTAAATTATATTTAGCACAAAACTGAAAATTATTGCAGCAGCTACACATTACAAAATGAGCTCCAACTTTATTAAGGGAACAGAGCTTTCATTTGAAAATCCAAAAAGGAGAACTAAAAAAAGAGAGAGGTGGAGATCTAAACTTGTTCTCTAGCTGCTATAGTTTAGTATAGCCGTCAAACAGGTATACAAATAACAACCTTCATGCTTGCAACTTTCTTCCTACAGACATAAGCTTCTGTTCTTTACCTATAAAATGGAGAAACAACCCAAATTTCAGCATTTTCAATATCAACATCCATCAACAGAGACTTATCACTATATGTGTGTGTGTGTGTGTGTATATATCAGCAAAGAGATCATTTTAACCAATGACCAAGAAAAGAGGCACCATAGATTGAAGGTCTGCAACACACTGAAAATTTTACAAATTTTAAGGTGTTGTATTTGAAAAAAAATCAAGGCTTATCTTGCAAGTGTACTCTACAAGATCAAAGAAAGAAGTACACCGAGCCGTGTGTGTATCTGACATAGATTGAAGGTCTGCAGCACACATTGAAAAACACGAGGTTTTTACAAATTTTAAGGTGTTGTATTTGAAAAAAATCAAGGCCTATCTTGCAAGTGCATTCTACAAGATCAAAGAAGGAAGTACACCATGGAGGTTTTAATCCTGTCATGTTGTAGACTCGAATATAAATGTCACCTCACCTGTTATAAGTCTGGGCCAAAGCTGTCATGTTGTAGACTCAAATCATAGAGGTTTTAATCCCGTCAGAAAACAATATTCTTAAATGTAATGGCAACAAGTATATAAAAAATCAGATTGTATGTAAATCACTAGTTTTCGGGAAAAAAAATGACCAATTGCTTTCACATATTTCTTAGGCCATACAACTGTGCATGTGTGAGTATCACAAAGATAAAAATTTCCTTTGAACATGAATTTCTATTGACACCTTCTATCAATCAACAAGTACAACATGGACTGCCCAACTAGTACCATTTTTCAAGAAAAATAAAGATCTAGTCAACTAAGAATGAGTTTCATCTAGTTATCATCTTTGTTATCCACCAAGTATCATCCTTCTCTATATACAACCTGAAAATAAAACATTTAACGTCTTAGAAACCAACAATTATTATTGAATGTGTATGTGTATGAATATATATATATATATATATGTATACACGTAGAGAGATGAGATCTGTTTTTCTTTCCGGAAATTAAACTATGAAATCTGATGTATACAGCGAGAGACTATGAGATCTGTTTTTCATATCAGAAATTAAACCATGAGATCTGTTGCAGTTTATATATATATATATATATGTATATATGCATCAATATTTAATCTACCATTTCGATTATGGTCTGAATAGAAATCACCACAAGTCACAATTGTATTAGAAACTAGTAACATGGCATCCATAAGCCTTGCACTTGAAGGGGCATTTGCTTAATCTATCTCTTAAAGTCTTAATTTATGGCAGCATCAATGATTGTCTGTTTTATTCATTCCACAAAAGGAAAAAATATACTTACCAATGTATATATCAAGAAAAAAAATAAGCTCAAACAAAGCAACATAACCTAAACTACTTGAAGCACTTTCTCATTGAAAGATGACCAGAACAATGATGTGCCAGACAATACCAGATCTCATGCTTCAGGGTAGCTTTTGCAATTTGAATCATATGGAAGCAGTGACTTATATTACCATTAATGAGGAGAAAACATGAATTGCTTTATAGTTTATACCAGTAGTTTTTTTATTTGTACCGGTAGTTTCCACAAAAGCATCTTTACTGTGAAACCAAAAAAACATGATACTTCTATAAGGGATATGTATCTATATCATATCAGTATCAGATATTAATACTTCTTCGATACTCGCGGATAAGTGTCAAAAACTTCTAAAACATATTGACAAATTCATAATATTTGTTTTGAACACATATTACGGATCTGATACTTCTCAATGACCATGTATAGGATATTTCTCAATACTTCAGGACGCTTGTCTAACAGTTCTTGAACATCAGACATGTAGCATTTCTTAGCATAATGTAAGGAAAAGCATAATAAGGGTTCAAAATATAGAGAATTTCTTCAAAAAGACAAATTGAGATATAATGATAATTATCATTTTTAATATAATCTAATAATTATGTTTCCAGCAATACAGCTATCAGTTTATTTTCAAAATGAAGGATTTCAAAGAGAATGTTAGTAAATTTTTTTTTGCTTCAGGACATAGATAAATATTTTCTTGGCTTCAGCCTCGACATGGTACTGTATGAAAATTAAACAATAAATTTAAAACTACAAGAGTTCTAGAATTAATTTGTCCTTGTGAGATTAACTAAGCATCAAATCCACCAAAATTGTCTCAGGAAACCATATCTATCCAAAGAAAATTTACTATAAAAAGCAAATAAATAAATAAGTAAGAACACAGTACTTGATAACTAGCAGTTTAGATGGATAGAGAGAGAATTTACTAGACATTTGTTGAGATTTTGGCCTCAAGGCCAAATGCTTGTTGCAAAGATCATTGAACATGTACTGGATGATAAACAGCAATCGACTACAACGACATTGAACTCAGCCAAATGTTAAGTTACACTGCTTTACAACACTACTATCTGTGTATCAGATGTGGCTTTTATAAATTAAAGTCTCTATTAGAGAATTCCTACAAATAACTAATGACAAAATTGCATACCCAGTAACAGCCACTTAAAAAATTAAAATAAAATAAAGAAAACACGTAACAAGCGCCAATTGTGGCTTAGAATCATTTATGTTTAATCATCTAATTTCGAATCTACTACAATCAGAAATTCAAAGCTTAATTCTAGCAGATGAAATGCTGTGTGATTATATACTAAGCTATGGTCTAGGCCAAGGACAACAAATGGCAGGATATAGAAGTAAATTAAAATGATAACTCCATCTACTAACCTTTTCATTCTACTAATCCTGTGCATCATATTTTATCATTGAACTTGACCAATTTGTGGCCTGCCCAAAAAAATTGTTAAACATGGCTGCAAATTGAATCTCAACAAATCCAATAACTACTGAAAATTTATATACACAGCAATGTGTTTAACTAAACATAAAATAAAATAAAAAATCCATTATTGGGGAGTGATAAGAAGACGAAAAATGTAGAAGTGAGGAAACTAGTCAACAATACAGAAATTAGTTCTACACATTCAAATTGGTATTTTGAATATTAGGATCATTATTAGCTCTAATGGGTTTGATTCAGCTGATCACAAGTACAAAACCGAAAAACCTAATTCTATGACAACTAATCACTAATCACGATGGTTGCAATTTCAGGTTTGGTGGCATCCTCTAAAAGAAACTTATGGACATACACTAGTTGCCTTTTGATACACATACATGGAACAGTCACTTGGGCCGGCACAAAGTTGAATAACTATAAGTTTTGATGATCTGTACACACTGCACCAGAATTTGGCAAAGCAAAAGAATTCAAAGCCAAACTTTTATCTAAAATTAGGTAATCTACATTCTACAATACACTGTATCTAATATGATACCCCATTTAGCAAGAAAATCCTTATTACTTCATTTTACTAAAATAAGATAATTGAAGTTATATTTACATAAGCAAAAAAGACCAAGAAACGCTAGCTCCAGCTTCTCCAATAGTTTTGAAACGTGTAGAAACAATAGGTAATGGTTCTTCTCACATGACGGGAATGGTAACACTTACTTCCCAATTATGATGTCCCAATTCAATGCCCTTTACTTTTGAATGTGGGTTCTTACTCAAAAGAATTCCTCGAGGCTCGAGCTACTATGACATCGGGCTTTTTGAGACTCAACAAAAAAACTTCACTCATGCCCTATTAAAACAAAACAAAATTTCAAGTTAATATAAATAATTCAAGATAAATCAAATGCATGTCACGTTAGCTATATCCATTAACGAGAGGTAGATTATAATGAGATAGACTTGATGAGGTAGATTACAATGGGATAGAATGATTACCTGTCGCCTTTTCATTGGCTGAGAATGAGCAACAAAGTGTTCAGTTGGAGCAGTTTGTTGGTGTGGGTTATACCCACTATCCATCCGGTCCTACCCAAAAATGAGGTTCAGTTAAATGATAAAAAGATAAGAAAACTTTTGAAATTTATCATTTTGCTATGAAGTTACCTGACGAGTATTGATAGGGTTAGTTTGAGTGGTATATGAATATTGTTCAGTATAAGCAGCGGGTTGGTTTTCGTTATCTCTACCATCCATCTGGACCTGCATTCCAATTCTTAGTTGTTTCATTTTTGTTTGAAGCCCTAATGCATTAGGACAAGTGATGGATAATAATGTACATCAGTGAAGAGCATTATCCATCGCTTTATTATATCGGAGGTTTTCATTACCTGCTGTCTTTTCATAGGCTGAGAACGAGTAACAAATTGTTGAGTTGGAGCAGTTAGTTGGTATGGGTTATACCCACTATCCTTTTGCCCCTAAAAAAAATAATAATAATAACACAAGGAGCTCAATTAACTGCTGTTCAAACAACTTTCCTAGGATGACGTATTAGCAATTTACTAGATTTTATTTATCTTTAACAGCGTTAGCAGTTAGCACCCCACCCTTATTTCTCCAGTCAGCAATTAGCAGTTTTGTAAATTTTATTCATCTAGAACAATGTTATTAGCACCCCACCCTTATTTAGACTCCAGTCAGCAATTAGCAGTTTTGAAGTTTTTATTCATCTTTAACAATGTTAGCACCCTTATTTAGATTCAAGTCAGCAATTAGAAGTTCGAAAATAATGGTAACCACTTGAGGATTACATTTTATGAACCCATACCATTGAAAAATCATGGAGTTAAGATTTAACAATATATCAAGATACAGCATCTTATTGAAAAAATTAAAAAAGTCAAATTCAGAAAAGTCATAAAAGTAAAAGAAAAATGCCCTCCCAAAAAGAACAGCATATATAAAAATCAGAACAGTGAGAAAATTAAAATTTTCAAAAGAATGGATACTGAAAAAACAATAGTGCTAATCTCTGACACAAGAGTGATTGGTGTGTTTATTCAAAACAGCTCCAGGTCTGGTACCTAAAAATTTCCATCATTCACTAAATTAAGGGCGTTATTAAACCATATAACAAGGCCCTTGGCATATATAGGAAAAACTGTTGTAAATGGTAGAAATATAAGGAAGCTTTTGAAATTTATCATTTTGCTATGAAGTTACCTGATGAATACTGGTGGGGGCAGTTTGAGTGGTATATTGTTCAATATGTGCAGCTGGTTGATTTTGGTTATCTCTAGCATCCATCCGGCATCCAATTATTAGTTGCTTCATTTTTTGCACTTCTTCTTTTAAATCATGCACTTCTTCTTCACAAGCCCTTCTAGCCTCTGAAGCCATCTTCATTGACTTCACACGACTAGGTGTTGTGCCCCAAAGATCTGAGGGAGAGTGACCCAAGCCATACGCGCGAACCAGGCCATGTCTATCTTCGCCAACTACTTGGGAAAATATGTCATCTCTAGCAGCACCACGTTATGAAGTTTCTGGTTGCTGAGTTGCATATTCTTTAAGTTTATTCTACATAAAATAAAAAGGGCAAATGTTTGCATTATACAACCACAATAAAAAGTAAGCAACAATTTAATCTTATATGTACTATTCTGAAAAAAGAGTCCAATAGAAAGTCCAAATTCCACGAACATATCTTACAATAATTTCTGCAGATGCTTCATCCATTGGTCGTCCATTCTTCTGCTTGTGCGTTAGTATATACATCTCTGCCCGAGTTAGTTCCTCTCCATTAGGCCTCTTCTTACGCTATCCTCAAATAAATAATTAACATTAAAGTTCAGAATAATTATTTGGAAATTAGACTACCAAAATATTCTCACATAAGCATAATGCACAAAATAGGTTACCTCTTCCTCGCGTATTCGCGCAAAGCTTTTTGACCCCACTGTGTGAGTATATTTTTGCTTAGAACAACTGATAGTATTAGTATTGCTACGCTCCTAAAAATAAGAAAAACATGTTAAAATATTATTTAGAGAAAGATAAGAGAAATCAGACATCTACTCTAACATCATTCCATCAACCATAAAAAGGGAATGTGTGCTTTACACCTGTCCTTTGTCTGAGTTCCAAAATTGAATTAGGTAATACCACTGCTCTGGCAGAACTCCATCATCACGATCTGTCAGTCACTCTGCATCAGTCGCATGTTTCTTATAATGCTTCCTCTTCAAGTTAGATTTAAAGTTACCCCATTTCCTACCAGTCGATTTCAGTACCCATGATTTAGCATACTCTGGAGTGATAAACTTTTCCTGCCATAAATTCAAAACACATTAAACAAACTTAGTTGGACCTACAAAGTATAAACTGTGTTGGTGCGTCCACTAATATTAATAAACAGATTGACATAATGCTTCATACCAAGACTATCTTCCAAACCTCCTCTTTAAAACGATCAGGTAAATTCCTCCAATCTGTAAAATGCAAGGGTAGTAGCTCGCTGCTCCGTGCTATAGTACCCAGAAATTGACCCAAAACTCTGCCTTCTTCCTCCATGGGCTGCCCCAATTCATTAAAAGCAACAAACGTACAATCTTCCTCAGATCTGCCCCATATGTCAGGGCACCTAGTGTCAACACGAGTCTTTTGTTGTATTCTTGATGATTCTATTACATGAGTGGTTACTTAAAAAAATGAGTAATCTTACAAAAATCAAGATGGTTTTTATTGAAATAATGTTCAAAGATTCATATACCTCCAGTTTCAGTAGTACTGCAATTTTGAGAAGGGATTGACTGTTCCAGATTGGAGGTAGACTGGTTTTGTGTAGGTAAAAATTGATGTTTTTGTATGGAACTCGTATGTAGAGTTTGCACAAAGCCAGTGTGTTGTGTTTGCATGCAGCCAACCTGATGAATCCGTTGCTGCTGAAGTGACTGTTGTGCCCCACTAGTCATGACACCCTTAATACATTTGGCTTTCTTATTATGCCTCGTATTTTCTGAAAATTTTAACCATAAAAAATGAGATAATTATAAAACAAGTGCAACTAAGTACTGCTAACTGATGCAATTTTTAAGATATAATGAGCACGAAAATTAGTAAAAACAGGATGAATAACAAAATCCTGACGAAATTAGTCATAAAAGACACCATAGTTACACATAAATCAATTATCAATGGGAGTTTTGATTGAGTCTGTCTTAGACTTCACATGAAATTGATTAAATAAAACCATTCACAGGACAGCCAGTAACATCTAACTACTGCAAACCTACAAAAGGACATTGACATTCCCTTCTGATTATACATTATGAATTAGATAAGAAAAACATGTTAGAATGGAACAGATAGCAAGTGTGCACAGCACGAGTGAGAACATGTCATTCAATTGGCATCTATCTAACAAAACCCTGCCACTAATAGTGCAAAGGTTTGATAGGAAAAGAAATAAAGAGTCAAATTTATTTCTGCATTTAATAGGAATTCAGATACTACTGCCCAAAATCTGTTAATATATCTCTGCATTTGCTTCAATTTAAAGCACTAATTTAAACTCCATTGAAATAAGATCATCTCTAAGAAATGCAGCATATAAGGTATTAGGAATCACATCAAACAAAAGTAAACACATTACAATTTAAACTCTTGGTACATGTACTGCTACATGGCGAGGATCAATAATGGCCTTAGCAGTTTCAATGTAACTAAATGAAATACAGCATCACTCTACACAGAACATGGATATTAAAGAGACAAAATCTAATCACAATTAATAATTTAATATACATAATAAAGTAAATTAAAAAATTACTTATAAAATAACTTAAAGGATAGAAATTTAAATGATGCAAGTAATATCAACTTAAAGCAAAACAAAGAAAAACGCAGACAAAATGATTGAAAATTTACAGATTGTGAACTGATAAGATTCATATTTTACGATTTTTGGGGAAAAAAGTCCGAATCCCAAATCTGACAGTCGCTGAATTAGATCAGAGATTATATACTAGGTAAACTGAAACCAAGATTTTGCCACTTGGCCTTAGGAAATAGTCCAACCTCCAAAGCAGGTGGAGAGCCGTTATCGCCAGAGAGAGTAAATTTTTGCATCCATGAGCACGATGAGGATGACGCATAAGTGATAAGAAATTATTGACAAGACTAACTCAACTCTCAACTCTCAAAATCTCCATATAACCACTAGACACAGTACATATAAATAAATAAATATATATACATATATATATATATATATATATATATATATGATCTATTTCAGTTTTCATTTAAAAAATAAAAAACTTAGTTAATAGTATACCTTCAGTTTCAGCAGTACTACAATTTTGGGATGCCCGTAACTGTCCACTAGAACTTGGTTGGACCATATGAGGTTGCTGGTGTAGTGTCTCATGTGTTCCATTAGTCATGGAGCCCTTGGTACGTTTGCCTTTCGTAGTACGCCACATATTTCCTGAAAATTTAAACACTAAAAAATTACATTAAAACTAATACACAACTTAAATTTGACACTTGGATAATAATTTAATATCATAAGAAAAAAGGAATAAATTAAATTTGACCTCGGATAATAATTTAATATCATAAATTAATATCATATGAAAAAAGGTATAATAATTTTTCATTAAAATTTACAACTTTTCTTGCTAAAATCAATAAAAGAAAAAGAAATTTTTGGTATGCAGGAAACATCTAGATGCCCATGAAGGAAAAATCTCAACATCACTCCAAAATACCAAGCCAACATTAAGGAAAATAGAACATAACAAATTTCATAAACATGATTTCTTATAAGGACATATGCAAGGATAAGAGTAATGAGCAGTGAAACACCTTGCCAGTGTAGGTCCTAAGAGGAACACCAAATGCCCTAGCCAATCCAAATTCAGCAATCTTCAAGACCTTGTTGTCGATATCTATGAGCAAATTCTTAGGTTTCAAATCCCGATGGAGTATTTTATAAGAATGACAATAAGCAACACCACAGAGAATCTGATAGAGAAACCGCTGCAGAGAAATTATGTTCAAAGGTAATCGTCATTGTCATCTCAACTAACTATCCAAAGTTGCAGACAAATAATATGAAACTGCTATTTTTTTTTCTTTCTTTCTTTCTTTTTCTTTTTTTTCTTTTTTTTTATAAAAACATTAATAAGTAAACAAACAGTAAAAAAGAAGAAGATAAACAGAGAGTATAAAGAAAACTTTATTGATCTGTAAAAGTGAAAGAAAAGGCCATAAACGTCTATAACATTTCACCAATGCACCAGTTTAGTTTCATTTTAAAGTTACAGACAGAAGTCACCCATTTACAGAAACACAAGCAGAAGGCTCTCGCCTACGTTTATTATTTGTTGATCCTTTGCAACCTCAGGATAAGAAGCAATGAACTTTGACAGGTCAAGGTCCAGACACTCAAAAATGAGATCCACGCCTGCCCTGTTCTTTATTACATCAAGTAACCTGTTTCCAAAGTTCCACACGTGCGCGCGCACACACACACACACACATATATATATATATTATAGAAATTTACAAAATTAGTACTGTTTAAATGTTGTCAGAAGTTCAAGACATTAAAGAAAGTTAAAAGAAAAATATAGCAGAGAAATCAAACATAAGAGATTTACTACTGTTTGCAACCAATAAATTTTTTATTACATTAAATAGATAAGGGCCTTTCTGAACTAAGATGCACTATACTCATGAGACAATCAAGTTCTACATACATCCATCAACTAGAACAACAATTAAAAAAGAACGGAAAGTTAGCCCTCCTTAATTTATTCATTTTGGTACAAGTATTTTTAGAAGTGTGTTATAACATAAAATGATGCACCTAGCCAAAGATTCTATAAGAAATCAAGAAATATATAATTGCTTGGCGCTTTTGTTGCAAAATTTGTTAGCTCACATAAATTATCAGAATCTATTAACAATAACATGGGGAAAAAAAAGAATATATTGTCGATAACAAATATTTTTCTTTCAATAAAAAATTTGTATAACCCATGATGCACACTGTACCTGTTCCCATATGTTACATTGATTCATTTTCTCTTCATGTATGGAATGCACAATAGATTAAGAATGGAATTCCCAGCCTCTGAAATAAAAATACCCTTACGATCCAACCTGTGAATAGCCCCATCAACATAGATAGCACCAGGCTCTCCCAATGTTTAGCTCCAGTGGTTTTCTCCCTTGCCAACCAGGCACTGTTTCATCTAAAAAGCATTCTGGGCCCCCAATGTAGGGGGAAAAAATTATTCTAAAATATTTCCCCTAACTATAGCTCTCAAGTTTGCTTCATTTGGATCAACTTTATACTGGTGTGGCAAGAAATAGGACAATTCAAAAGAAAATTTTAATGAATGTCTGCATAGCACAAGTTATTCTACCCAAAATTTTCCTCAAAATCTTCATCGTCTTTTAGACCAAAATCTTCAACTGCAACATAACCAGCTTCTTTCATGTGCTTTGTCAATCCCCCCAACAAAGGGTAAATCTCATTTGATTGGGGGTTGGACGTGTCTCCCACCAAAAAGGGAGAAAATCCAGTGCCTGCATCAACCCAAGCACAGCCAGGAGCCTTTCTCACACCCAGGTCCCTCATGGAGGTCCTCACTTTTGCTAGTTTGTTCCAACACCCAGCAGCAGCATACATGTTAGCAATCAACACATAATATCCTGAATTTTGAGGCCTCAGTTCCAACAGTTTCTCGGCTGCCCATTCCCCTATTTCTGTATTTCCATGGATCCGACATGCTCCAATGAGAGTGGCCCACATTGCAGGGGTTGGCCGGTAAGGCATCCTTGTGATTGTTTCTTCTGCTTTATTTAGTAAACCAGCCCTCCCAAAGAGATCAACCATACAAGCAAAGTGCTCTAAACGAGGAGTTATACCATAGACACTAGGCATCTTTTCAAATATCATTTGACCTTCACTTACAAGACCTGAATGACTACAAGCTGACAAAACTGCTACCATGGTTATATGATCTACTTTGATCTGGAACCTTTTCATCTCTTCAAAAAGTTTCAATGCAGCTTGACCCTCACCCTGCATCCCATATCCAGCTATTAATGAAGTGTAGGTCACTTCATCCTTTTTACTTATCAAATCAAACAGTCTTTTGGCTTCTGAAATTTTACTTGACCTTGCATACATATCCACAAGAGCATTCCAAATTAACAAATAATCCTTGAACCCTTCTCGCTTTATAATGTAGCAGTGGAACTCTTTACCATGTTGCAAATTCGCTACTCGAGCACAAAGGGGAAGAATACTTGCGATTGTGATATAATTTGGTTCAACCCCAGAAGAAATCATTTCTCTAAATAGAAAAGAGGCTTCCTCAGATTGGTCCCAGTGCGCGAAACCAGAAATGATGGAGTTCCAAGAAATCACACTTTTAGCTTCTATCGATCTGAACATAATATATGCATGCCCAAGGTTCCTGCACCTTGAATACATAGTAATTAATGAATTTTTCACATTATCAAACCCATCGCAAAAACTACGAATTGCTAAACTGTGAATCTGCTTCCCCAATTTTAATACACCAATGTGGGAACATGCACCCAAACCAATAATCATTGCCACGGAATCCAAATGAATGCCACACGTTCTCATTTGAGAAAGCAATTCGAGTGCCCCCTTATAGTTGCCCGTCCTCACGCACCCTCCAGCTATGGTGTTCCAAGTTATGATATTCAATTCTATATTCTCATCTCGCATGTTCTCAAAAAGCTCAAAGGCCTCCCCCCACAGACCCTTTGAGGCATACCCAGAGATCATTGAGTTCCAAGATACTGCATCTCTTTCCAACATTTTATCAAACAATTTACGAGCAACATCCACTTCCCCGCACCTTCCGTACATAGAAACCAATGCATTTTGCACGAACAAGTTCCACTCGAGACAGCTAGCATCAATAGACTTGTGAACCTCCCTCCCAAGATCCAAATTTAAGTCGTCACCACAAGCCTTGAGAACAGAAGGGAAAGTAAAATTATCAGGTCTGATCCCCTTATTCACCATTTGTTCATAGGTGGACAGAGCCTTTGCAGAAAACCCATTTTTAGCATATGAAGAGATGAGCATATTCCAAGGAAGAGGGCTCAAAATATTTGAAGTTTCAGTTATACCATGAGCATCAACAAGGAGATTCAAGGCTGAGTAGAAGCTAATTAGTTTGGGAACCAATACAGGATGTTGTTGGAGGCCCGAAGAGAGAGCATAGGCATGAAGTTGTTTACCCTGTGGAAGTGACTTGAGGTTACTGCAAGATAACAAAAGTGAAGATAAGGAGTGTAGAATAAGGTCATTAGAAGCGTGGTATTGGATTAGAGAGAAAGTTCTAAAGGCTTTGAATAGTTGGCCTTGGCTTGCAAAGTCCTTGAGGGATGTGAGAAGGGAATCCACCATAGAAATATCAGCACTTGTGGATGTATCTAGTATTGAGTCCTGGGAATAATTATATGATGTGGGCAGCGGGTGTTTCTTTTCAGTTTCTTGCCTGACACTTTGTTTCCATTTTTTAGGAATGAATTTTTGGAGTTGGAATGCTAAAAAGGCTCTTGGTGGCAGATAACTTGGAGAAGATGGCATACAACATAGATGTAATAACCAAAAAGAGGGTACTGAGTAGTGACTGCATCTGCATTTGCAACCGTCAAAATTGAAAAATACAGTATAAGGTCACTCAATTTTTTCCCCTGCTCAAGGCAAAAAATCAGTTCAATTGATTAACAACCACACACAGACTTCCTCAGAGCTCCTTTTGCTTTAGTATTTCCCCAGCTAATATAAAACAATATATATAAAAGATGTCTTTCCCCTGCAAACATAAAAACAATATAAATATAAGAGGTGCTATACAAGTAATCGCCTCAGAAATAATTTGTTAATCAACATATGCGCTCCATTTGTGTCGATGTAAAACATTTTTCATACAAAACTTTTTACATATAAATTATTATTTTTCCCTCTTAATTCTAGTGTTTGGCTTAATCCTGAAAAAAAAAAAAAGAACAAAAAAAAAATTTCAGCAAAGTTTACAGCTGCCAAAAAAAAAAGAAAACCTCTCTAAGGAGGATGCATTTTTTGAAAGACCATTTCCATAGAACTTCTTTATACTGCAATTCTGTGCTACAAATAAACTCATTTTGATAACAAAATAAATAAAAATCATTTCAAATACTAACCCAACTACAAAACTGTTGCTAATTATAACATAAAAAAGATCATAAATAAGTATAAATGAATTATCAGTTTTATACAGAGTTAACAACGTATTTAATTAGTATCTGGTATTAAAAAGCTTTTAAACCTAACCTTTGGCTTAATCAGTTCGTAGGATTCTCTCTCCTCTCTTAACTGCGTCCAACATTACAAAAACCTAAGGTTTACAGGGCGATTTTGCAACGTCATGGTCATGAATACATAAGAAGAGTAAAAATCCATCTCATTAATCCTTTAAACTTGTAATATGAACCCTCCTGAATCACCTACCCTCCGGAACCAAATATTAAGAAATTAGCAATATAATCTACCAAAAAAAAAAAAAAAGGGGGCAACATAGATATGCAAAAACAAAAACAAAAACAAAAACATCCCTGAAAATCAAATACTCTCAATTCATGAAGAACTCGATAAATTAATTAATATAGCAAAGCCTTGAACTGTGTGAAGAGAAAATGAGGCAAGAAGTATTTCATTAACATTTGTAAACGCAACAGTTATTTGTGAGATGTAATAAGACACAGTACATTCTAAGATCACATAAACACACACATATTTGCATACATACCTACCTCTTCACTGATATTCAAAGGACCAATGGAGTTTCAATGGTAACAGAAGGGTTTTAGGGTTTTGAGGGAAGAATTAGAGTGCAATTAGAGCGTTGGTGATGGTCGATGGTGGACGACGTGAGCAGCAAGAGTATGTATGGACTGGGCCTATTGTACTCTGGGTGTAAGTTGAGCAACCAGTGCTCGGTTGTGAATTTGAGGCCCGGTAGAGGTCCCTTAAGTACGCCCTTTCAGAACTATGATAGGCCATAAACCAGATGCCTAACATACTCTGAATCAGTGTTCTTCCTCTACTTTCTTGAAATATCTCTACCATATCGCTAATCATCACTGCCTGATGGTTCTATTTTCCATGTTAAGGCCGGCCGTCGTCACTGCCTGATGGTTCTATTTCTGAGAAGTCTACAGTCGAGATTCATGGTGAAGATGTAAATTCCCGGCGATAATCAAAAGGGAAAAGGTAAGTTCTTGCAACTATCCGGAGAGAGGTTTATCAAAAACAAATGGTATGGGCTACCAAGCCTACCAATATCGAGCTTACGGCTCCCCCTTAAAGATGAACCCTTTTAAGTTCCACCTGGCCGAAGGTTCTACAATGTACATGTCACGTGTACAAGCGGTACCAATTTATATATATATAGAAATTAAATTTTAGGTTATGCTTGAGTTGTCTATTTAAGTTGGATTGAAACAGTACCACTTTTTAAAGATACAACTGCTATTGTTTTTAAGATTACGAATATTTTTAGTTTTTCCTTATTGAAATCGTGGATTTGCAATCAAATGAAGAAGGTTTTAGCTATAAAATCAATCTCATGTACAACTCTTTTAGAACTTGTAGAAGTGTTGTTTTTTTTCAAAAACACTTTGTGAGTCCAAGGCAGACAAACTTCTACTAAGGGAAAGCCATAGCGAGGTTGTGACTATAAAAAATTGGATTATTCTCAATAGAACTATTGTGATGAGCAAACGTTGATCATACTGAATTACAATTATATAAATGATATAACTTGGGCAATTGAAACTCAAGAAGCTGACTAAATTACATGTACTCAAGTAGTGTTTGATTTGTAGTCTATTCATTAGGCTCAATCAAACCAAGACACCCCAATAAAATAAACATGGCAGAGGCCTGATGAGCACAAGTAAAGCTCAACTAAGCTGAGCTCGAACGCACGTTTCACCTCAGTCCATTTGCACCATTAATCTAAACCCCCTTTCAGAAATGGGATAACATCATGCTTCTCCGGATTCTCAGATCATTCCGACTTTATTCTGGTGAAAATGGTAGTAGCAAGATGCAGTTGCAAAAGTATCAAAAATAAAATAAAAGAACATCTACAATAGCGGTGTATTTCTTTTTCGCTCTTTATTTTTGTTCAGAGAAAATGAAAGGGAATGAAAAATATGACATCTCTAACACACGTCTCCATTCCCAGCCAAATTTAATTTACGCACCTTCTTATGGTGGGTGGTATAAACAACTAACTAGTTTTTAGAAGTTAGATGCCCTGGGTTGGGAGATATTATTGAGCCTAACTCACAATATAGAACATCTCTGCAGCCCAAGAGCTCTGAAGAATCTTCTACCAGTAGGCCACGCTTGGTATAAAAAACCCATTTGAGGTGGAGCAGCTGCAGCTGCAGCTTCATGAAGTTCCTCCTCCTCTTTATTCCCATCTGGATCATCCTGATCACCCTTCTCATGATTTTCTACAGGATTCGGATCTTCTCCTCCATTGTTGATTTCGACATCCGCAATTTGCCCTGGCTTCTTGTCGAACAGTCCTTTAAATTGTTTACGAACCTTCCTATCAACTTCCTGCTTATCAGAGGAGTACATTCACAGTTGCTTTTGCTTTTCCAATTCCATATTGAATACAAATTTGAAAATTTGTTACTTTTAAACCCACCTGCTCCCTTTGTTTTAATTTTACAAGAGCTGCCCTTGCATTAGGTTCAGATGACTTGTCAATGCTCGTCATCTAATAATCCAAAATGGAAGTCAGAATAGTGTGTCAAGCGCGTGTAAATATCCAATTTATGATCATAACTAAAAACATTACCTTGTTAAAATCTCTCCTTGCTTCCTCAAAATCTCCAGCTGACATGTAGGCCATTCCACGGCGATAAAGAGCTTTGACATGAACAGGGTTTGCATCTAATACCTGCATTATTTCCATATAAATACATGCCGATATCAGTGCTCAAGAAGAATAAGCTTCGCCTGTAAGACTACTAATTTGAATTGGATGGTAGGACGTGTATGGGGCCCAATATTCATATTACTTTGAATCTTACAGTTTTGGAGGATTAAAAAATATATATACAGCACCAAACACACCTCTTTATTGTTTGGTTGTATTCATTCACTTATTAGGTTCCGGAAAAAGTAAATAGGGGACACTAAATATCTTATCATCCATCAAAGGCCTAATTTTGAATGTTGAATTTTGACGGAAGGCTTTACCCTGCTATTATTCACTAAGACAGCTAAGCCAATCACTGAAACCTAATTGAGCTGTGTGTGCACGTTGATGCACTTTCCAGGAAAGCTTGAACTGGTCATATATTGGAAGAATTTAGGATAAATGTGACAGAAAGCTCGAGGCATTTCTTCCCCCATCACAACTTGAGTGAATAATAAGGTCCTTAAATAACACAATACCTCAAACAAAGATAAATTAATACCATTTCTTATTATAACATCATTTTGAAAAGATTAAAATTAACTCAACAAATGTGATAGCTTAAAATAAAAATAATGGCCGTTTAAAAAATAATAATAAAATAACAAAGAAAAGAAAAGAAAGGAAAGGAAAAGCAAAAACCAACAAGGACAAATGACAAATGATCATTTTTTTCAATAAGCAAGCATTGTTAATGACACAGTGGACTAGTTTAAATTCAACTTTAAAACTAAGGAAAATAACCAATGAAACTCGAAATTCAAACATATCAACCAGTCAAACGTTATTAGTCACAGCAGAGGCCACGAACAACACAGTTGAAAATTTAAACAATGGTCAGTTGATCAACACGTCATCATAGCAGAGATTGCAGTGCAGTACATCAGGTAGGGGAAGCTAAAAATTTAAACCATCCTAGAAAGTCATCACTTTGTTTCATGTAGCACAGGATGAATAATCTTACGACTAATGTTTTGTGACAATCTTGGATTTTTATTAGGTTCTTTAAATTCTTAAGTAAATTATTTTTCTTTGCAATTATTATTTCTCTTGTTGCCACGTGAATTTATTTTGCCTTATCCTTAATATTTAAAATGCATCAAGATTTATTTTCCTATTCTATGTGAGTTAAGTTGTTTAATTTCTATTTTGCTGAATTTTTCTATATAGAGGTATTGTGCTATTTTCCTTGTTTTAAGTAGAAAGGTGGGTCAAAGATGCAATTAGTTAGCTAAGTTGTGCGGGTTCACTATTAGAGGAAATTGTGGGGAAGTATTGCTGTTCCTGTGTATTTAAATTAGTTGGTGGGAGAAACTTGCAATTTACACAAGATATATATATATATTATTGGAAAACACCTGTCAATATTCCCAGCATCCTAAGGACACATTTGTGTTCTAAGGTTGACACCAAGCTTAGGCCCTTCACATATTTCTCTGCATGTAAGACTATCTAAAAAAAAAAGAAAATCTAACAGAAAGGGGAAAGAGGGAGATCGAGCAAGGAAGAGTAAGGGAGGCCGAAAAAGGCTGGGGATTTACTCATCACTGTTTCTTCATCTATGTAATTGGTAGGGATTCTCTAATTTTGTTTCTTTGAGAGACTTTCCTCTGACTTCGCTAGTTTTCTTTTTTTTGATAAGTGACTTTGCTAGTTTTCTTGTTGCTTGATAAAACTAATACATTGAGCTATCTGTTCTAAATTTAAAGGTTGTTATTAGTTTTTTTTTTTTTAATTGCTGAAAAAGGATTCTTGAAATTTGGTAAGCAGTTTGGTTAACTAAATATATGTGTTATGTGTTTCATATGTTGGAAAATTCGAGTTTGGTGCAATGTACCAGTTCTGTTTTTGTTTTAAAAATTTGAGTAACATGACTGACAAGGCTGAGATTTTCTTGCTATGTTGCACTTAAAATTACAGTTTTAAGGTTCTTGAGTTTCAAATGTCTTAATTGGTACAAAGTCATCTTGAACAGATTTTTATACTTGAGATGAGACTAGGTGGGTGAAGTCTCAGAAGGGAAAAGAGGGTACGAGCTACCCTAGGGTGAAAGTCCCAAAACCCGCAGCGGTAGACCCTTGTTTGGGTATTTGGGACTTGCTTACATACTGATCGGTGTGGGAGTGTGGTAGAGAACAGTGGCAGCAGCCTTTTAAAGTATATAAAAGGCGTGGCAAGGAGGGTTTAAGGCTCAAACCTTAATTTGGCACATGCTAGACGATGGGGTCCACTTGGAGTCTTGCATAATTAGGGGGTTTGGTCAAATTTCATTATTTTGGCAATTGCATTAATTATGGAAAATCTGCATTGTTTTGGTAAATTGCATCAATTAAGTAATTTAAGTTATTTGTTACTTTATTAAGTTAGAGTCAACTTTTGATTACCTCCATTGTAGGGTAATCCAAGGGTCATCTTTTATTATAAAAGGATATTATGTAATTCTGAATACGGAGCGAATGATTGAATAAAATTATCCTTTGAGATTTCTTTGTGAGTGATTCACAAATTCTGAGGGTGTGAGGCCTTCTCTAGGTGTGATACCTAAGTCCTATTGGAGTGATTCCAATAGGCTTTTCTATGTTACTTTCAATCCTTCTTTTTCTACTAACAACCCCTGAATCTTAGCTTTGTTTCTGAATTTCCAGCCCATAACTCTTATTTACTTTCTTCTATTAAAGCCTGTCCTTTGTCCTACATCAGAGTGACAGTGTGGGACACTCCGGGATGAGTTGAAGGTGTTCAATGAATTGTACCAAAGAAAAGAAAAATGTTTTTGAACAAAATTCCTGAATATTTTGTTAGCTCGCTATGAGTCTTGTTTGTTCTTTTGTATGAAAATATAAAATTCTGATTTATAATGTAGTCTATAATCAAATTATATTTTTCGAAAGTCCAACATATACTCAAAACCTCATTGAGGCATCATTAGAGTTTTCCTACTGAGCGTTGTCTCACTCCTAACAATTTTCAGGTATCGTCAACCGAGATGGTGGACGCGGAGATGCGAATTGCGGTCCATGACTTGCTTTTGCACTGGATATATTTTTGGATTGAAGCCTATGTTGCTTCATGAAATTAAGCTGATAGAATGATCAAATTTTTTTCGGCTTTTGTTATAGTAGTTATAGTTTGACCCATGAAGCGGGTTGTAGAAGAAGTGACAACTCTATTGTCACTTGTTGTGCTGGTTCGAAAATGTTAGCATGCTCTTCTATTGTGTATATTTGATTTTGATGTTGTATATAGTTGGCTTAAGGTGTAAAGCATGCTATGGTGTTAAGGTATGGGTTTTAGCCTATTTCAGGGTATTATTTGTACCCTCTTTTTATGTGTGTACCAATGTAGTTTGTGTGAGTGGGTGGACTAAGTTTCTACTCATCTGCATGAAGAACTTGGTATGTAAATGTTATCCGTTTCTATGTAAATGGATAATTTTGTTATGTAGAATTTCCTTTGCTGCCTAGGGTGTATTTATGTGATCTATGTCAAGTTTGGGTCATTGGGTACGCACCTATTATTTTTCATTTTGAGGTCAACATTATTGTATACAAGTGATCTTAATGATGTGGCTGGGTGTTCAATAGCTGGTAGCAGGAAACTAGAATTGTTAACTATCCCATAGCCAGCAACCGATCTCCTTAAGTCTTAGTTGGACAAAATTTTTAAGAGGTGATGTCGTGTCCCTATTACTCTGATATTTTTACCACAAGTAGGCATAGAGGGTAGTACCACTCTGTAAAATATTGTGATTTTTGGACAAGCAGATATTTTTATAAAAATCCGACTCTACCTGTTGTCCGTCCTTTATTCGCTGCTGGAAAAAAGAGTTTGGATTATTTATTTGGCTAACTTTTCGACTTCGTAGCATTATCAAAATTTTCAGATTTTAAGTTCTTTGAGTCTACTTTATAAAAATCAAGTCTATGGAATTTCTCTCAGTTCCCTACCTTTTCCAAATGAACAAAATTTACCGAAGGGTCTATTTCTAGCTTACATTTTATGGGCTGTTGTACCTTGAAAAACTGTTTTCATTGGCTAAGATTAAGCTGCTGGGAGTGACCCGTCTATGTTACCCAAGGAGTCTAGTTTCCAAATCATTTTCATTTGCTCCGTTTCGATTTAAAATGAATTTGCTACAGATTTTTTATTAATCGCTGGGCATTTTGAAGACGATAGGCAGAATGCCCCCTCATAAATCTTGGTATATGTGAAATGAGAAGGCGCATCAACATCAACTCATAATGACACATCTCAACCAAATGCAATACACTTTTGCTAGAATATGTTTTATGTAATTAAACAAATGGAATATTTTTGAACTATAAGGTCAGAAAACTACCTTATTGCATGCCTCAATGGACTTTCTACATTCTCCAATTTTCAGATAGCAGGCAGCCACATTAAGATGTAACAAATTCTTCAAGCGTCCAAAATGAAAAATGGAAATCAATACCAAATAAAAACCATGCTCTAATACAGAAAGGTAGCTATAGGTGAGAGTACAAGAGTCAAAAAGTATCTCTTAGAACCCAAAAGAACTAAGAATCACAAAAGTTGATGAAGTTTATAAACATACTCTTGTATCTGAAAACTCTTTTCCTTCCTCATCATCTTGTGGATTAACATGATTAAATTCACGAAGAACCTGTAGGATGATTCCATATAAATAGCAATAAGAATTGCATCTTTAATATAGAAGAGCATATGAATTTTTTCAAGATTCTTTAAAATAATATTATGCGAAAAGAATGTATATTCAGGTAATATAATCAGTATGCCATAAAATAATTTAGGAATCCAAAGCAGGTCACAAAACTATTTGTCGAAGAATATCAAATGCCAGTAGCAGCAATTGAGTCATTAAATGGCAGGCCATCTAAGCCAGATGGTTACCATAGAAGTACATGCAAGGATGACTGGTAAAAGCTACAGATGGCAATTCACCACCTGCATACTGGCCATGGTACCTCTTTTTGGTGCCCCATGAAGCGTGCAATTAACTTTAGATAAAAATTCATAATGATACTTTGACTTCTAAGATATGTAGACTTGCAAATTTACTTATCAAAAAAAAAAAAAAAAAAGAAGATGTGTAGACTTGCAAATAGCTTTATCCAAAACACTAGTTAAAATTGATTATTAATGGGGGGTTCCACTTTTATAAAGAATAGACCAAAAACATCAGATAAGCAGTCAGTCTTACAAAAATCTTCAACAGGAAAAGCTGAAAATTGTAAAGAAAAAAAAAAAATTACACTTGCCTTCTCATACTTTGCCTTAGCAAGCTCAAACTTTCCTTCTTTAAAAAGCCTGTTACCCTGAAAATGAACAGATTACAGTGAGTTTCTTTAAAAATTCCTCACTTCTAGAGTGATGCTGCAACACACAATATCCAAGGATTGAACCATCTAACCCCACCCCTCTCCATTTAGATGTCATGCCCACACTTCTCCATGTGCTACTCCAGCTCAGCCTCAATAACAACCATATTTTAACAGGACATGTTCAAAATTTGAATAAAAATATTTGTATAAGAAAATTATTGTCTTAAAATTCAAAAGCCTAGAGTGACTAAAGATCTTATTAGACAAAGTCAAAAGGTCATGAATCCCTTTTAAGACACAACTTAAATTGAAAATAACAAACAAGGGACATGAACTTTACATAAAACATACCAATGTATACATATGTACATTCATAATTTTATGTTTCATTTCCTTTTCCCCCCCTAATAGTGGATCATGGTTTTTATAATTTGCATATAGATCATTACAACTTTTCAAAAACTATTTTTTAAAAAATAGAATTGATATTTTCTAAGCTGTCCACTGCTGTTCAGAGCATGACAGCCAAGTGCTTGAAACCCAAATTTCATTTTAAGATTATGTAACATATTAAGGGGATCAAACACATCTCCAAGAAGTGCAGAGTTCAACGTGTGTCCGACACAAAAATGACTCATCTTTGGAGGTGACCACACTATTTAGATCATGATCGAGCCTGCCCAAATTTTGGCTGGAACTATCAATAATTGGCAGGTTTGAGGTTACCCATTCCAAAGATGCACAGCCATGCAACAATTAGAACTGCTGTGAAAGAATTAGTACTTAATGGAGAGCCTAATGGTCAACAAGGTATGTTAAACAATAATATTCAAAATAGTTGGGAAATATATACCGTGCCTTTGATCTTCTCTACATCCTCCATTATAGCTCTAAAGTTTAAACCAGTCCAGTCCTGCAACAAGGATTTCAATTATACACCAGAGACATGGTTTGGTAAAATAAGCCAATATAACTGAATGCATATCAATATAATTCGTCGAGAGAAAAAATAATAATAAATAATTAATTAATTAAAAAAAATTAAGCATATGTAATCAAGGAATTGGGAGGCAAGTAACAAATCTAAGCCCTAGAGTCAAATGACATTAAATCAATGCTGCCAATTAAGGAAGTCTACAAAAGAAAGTGCATTAACATATGTAATCAAAGAGTTGAGATGGAAGTATCAAATCTAAGCCCTAGATTGTTATATCAAACATCAATGGCACCAAGTAAGCGATTGAAATATGCAAAAAACCACAATTCAAATAAGTCAGCGACTTCGAAACTCATAGCTCTTTCAATTATTTCTTATATGTTTGCCTCACCTCTAAACTAAGGAGAGCATAGATAACACTAATAATTATTACTCTTGAAAAGCTAAGAGCCAAAATAGTATCTAAAACCTTCTAAGTTATGACAAGGAACACTTATCAACAAAAGTAATTACTTAATATAAGGGGCCTAATATAAAATTTAATAGACCAATATCATATCCAAATGGTAATGAAGCATGTCTTATTTGTGTGAAAAGTTAAGCATATATATTTCTGAAGGATATGATGATTTTGACCTCAGGCCAACTAAACACTTGGTCTGACAGTTGCACCAAACTGTCCTTTTCTTCACAAACCAAGGTGTTAATTTCTGACATGGACACCACTAATCAAACATCACAACCACCAATAGTGGGCTAAACAAAGAACGAAATATGGGGTCCTGACACTCTAGAGTGGTAATTGCACCAGAATTGTTGAAGGTTGACAGTAAATTCCAAGCACAATAGACTTACATCCAAGATTGATATCAAGCCCTTAACCTCTCTCTCTTTGCCAATTAAGGTCCCAAGCCTCTGGAAAGGTAATTACCAGAATTGTTGAAGGCCGACGATAAATTTCAAAGCACATTAGGCTTACATCAAAGGTTTACGTCAAGCCCTTACCTTCTTTTTCATTTGTCAACAGTGATGTTTTGAACAAATTAAAAGTTCATAACTAAATTTCTCAAAAAAACTCTGCTCCTATGTTTTTTGAGATACAGGCATGCCATGTTCTGACAAGGAAACCAAAAAAAAAAAAATGGAAGTGACCCAAATATTTGGGCAGAGACACCTTCTCAATAACCTATTGATGTGTACACAGTACTGAGTACACCCAACCAAAGCCTGACTGAAAATATCTCAGTAAAAACAGTTGCACGTTTGGTTCTGTTAGGTTCAATTAGCCTAAGCTGCAATTTTACAACTAGTTGATGGTCAACTATGATATTATCAAAGTAAAATAACAGTAATGCAATTCACAAAATTAATTATATCAAGGGTAAATTACACTTACACCCCCTCAGGTTAGGTCAAATTTCACCTGGATGAATATTTTGGTTTTAACTTTCAATTACACCCCAAGCAGCTTTTCATCAAAAAAATATATGAAATGTCATTTATGCCCCACTTATTTAATATATTTTAATTAAAAAAATCAAATATCTTAAAAGACGAAACTACCCCTAATTATTTCAACAAAACTCTCTCTCTCTCTCTCTCTCTCTCTCTCTCTCTCTCTCTCTATATATATATATATATATACACACACACTGTAAAGGCAATTCATTACTGTACATAGCTCCGTCAAGACTGCCGACACCATCGCAAAGCACAGCCAATACCGTCGTCACCACCATCCCCACCCCATAACCACCACCACTATCTTCCGGCGACAAACCACCACCTGAAAATTGAAGGCATGAACACCACAATAGGTGGCACCAATACCACTTGTAGTCCGTCGAACCACCATAATCGGTGGTTTATTTCAGAGAATAAACCACCACAATCGGCGGTGCAGAGAGCGTACCATCTCTTGTGATATGCCTCAACCTCAGTGGCACTCCGGTCGTCGTAACCCTAACCCTAGGCCTCATGGTCGCTTACATCCTCGATGATATCAATTTCAAGCCCAGTTCGTTCTTCGCTATCTGGTTGTCTTCAATTTGATCCCTCTCGCTATCGTCGCCACTTTCCTCTGCTGCCTAACCGGTTTCTTGATCGGCACCTGGGCTTCGGAATCTTTTCTTCTTTCAGCGATGATCTCTATGATTACAGAGCTGAGATTGATTCGGTGTTAGGGTTATAGTTTGCGAATGAATTGGTGTTAGAATTGTGATCAGTGTTAAATTGGGTGACAAAGATGGTGTGAGAGGGTTTTGAACGTTAGGAGGGAGTGCAGAGGTCTGTTGAGGGTTCATTGGCCGGGATGAACAGTGGTGGTGATGGTTTTGGGGTGAAGACGGTGGTGGTGGTGCTTCATTTACCAGATTATGCGGTTATGGTGGAAGCTGCAGTGGTATCCATGGAACCATGGTCGGCGATAGATAGTTGCAGATCCACCAATTTCAAGGGTTTATTTTGGCTAGGAAGAAAAGAAACTAAATTTGAGGTTTGTTAAGAGAAATAATTATAAACCAAAACATGTATAATTAGTTAAAATTTATGCAGTTGTACCGAATTCTAATACACTTGATAAATTCTGGAAGTAAGAAATTCTGTCTACTTTTTATTAGGCAAGCGAAGACGAAATCAATGTTCTTCAAATCCTTACATGGACAAAGCTAGATTTTATATATATACAAATATATTAATTTTTATGACATTTTAGTCATTTAAAAAGGTCTATTGGGGGTAGTTAAGTCATTTTATGTATAAAAAAAAGTCAACACAAAGTCAAAAGGTTAGTATTGTCATTTTACATGTAAAAGTGCTCTGACAACACTGAAAAATGACTTTTGGGGTGTGAGTGAAATATAGATCCACTCTTCAAATTATGAGTGAAAGTTAAAACCAAAATGTTAATTTATGTGAAATTTGACCTAACCTGAGGGGGTGTCAGTGTAATTTACCCTTTATATCAAACAACTCCAAACAAATACAAATATCCAAACAGTGCAATTGTAAAGACCACATACAGATAGTTCTGAGACTTCGAATGCCACAAAATTTAAAATAAATTATAAACAGTAAATTTCGTAAGGTTTTGTAAGAGATGTGATTGAATCTTTTTGTCTTTGTGCTTAAATACATTCAGTTAGAGTACCTTGACCATCTCAAAACCAAGAAGCTCGATCTCCCATTGAATATGAGCACCTTCTGGAACATTAGCTGGCCTAAACAAATAAAAGAGAAATATAAAACTCGATTTCATTTTAAGAAGAATAAGATGATAATGATCACGGGGTCTACTTCAGAAACCCATGATATTTGCATGTCATGCCCACATATATGATATAGAGGAAGACCAGGTAAGAAAAATAACCTTGGGAACTTGTCATATGCATAATCGGGAGGGCAGGTAACAAGAGCTAACTCTCCAGGCAACATCAAGCGAACACACATTTCAAGCCCTTCAGGCACCTACCATACAAAAAGCAACATCTTCCATATATTAATTATATAAAGAAATCAAAACAAATTAGTAATCATTTCTTTATCTCAAAAGTAAATAAAATAAGCATTGTTTTAAAATATTAAGAGCTCAAATAAAATTCCAGACAAATGAAAAAAGAAAATAGTAAAAAAATTAAAATCAAAACAAAAATTAAAAGAAAGTATTTATACCCAAAATTTATAAATGGTAGATCAACAAATCAATCAGTTATACTTCCAAGTTAATTACACCGTAACTGATATATATATAAATATATATATACATACATATATAATATCAAAATGACATCCTTCTTTTCTATAAAAATTGCATCTTACCAGCCCTTCCCCTGAGCTGAATTCCAGAGGCTCACCATTGTTATCAACTTTTGTATCATAGAAGACTGTCTTATCATCATCAAGCAGCATGCCCTTGTAATGGACACGTAGTAGACTGTCTTGAAGAGGGCAATCCATAGGAAAATCACCTAATTATTTCCAAGAAGAGAAACAGAAACATTATCAGTTATCAGTGATCACATAATATTTAGTAAGAACAAAGTAAGCTCTTACAAATACAATAATTAGAAGTAATCTAAGATAAAAAGAAATTAAAAAGATCATGCAAAATAATCCTACCTTAGTGATGTTCAAATGCAAAATTCGGATTCATACCTCTTCCATCACGAATACGCCGTTTTATTAGGCGCCCATCTCCAAGCATGTCACGCACCTGTATAAGTGTAACCAGAGAAACAGGACAAATCCTCACCAAGTTGCCTATGGAAGATAGTGGAACTTTAATAAACAACAAAGGACAACTTCAGGATTGGAAAATATAATGAACAATATCTCCAATTGCAATAAAGATTGCATAAGTTCAAAGTACCTCAGCGACCATAGGCAGTGTTGACAAAGCTGCGAGGTGGTCACCAATTTTTGTGTTATATAATGTCATATAGGGTATGTGTTGCATAATTATTGCTAATTTACTCATTACTCATTAGTGAACATCTCTAAGCTATTCATGGCACATAACAAGGATATAGAAGTAACACCATAAAAGAAATACTGACGCAGGTCCTCCAAGTAGCTCATACAAGCAAAAAAAGGAAAGGAGAAAACAATTGATTTAGAAATCGAGGTGGAATGATAAACAAGGAATGCATTCCATATCCAATGCATATGATGACAGGATGCATTCCCAATTTTTTTTTTTTCCCCTGGGTACAGAATTTACTACTCATGGCAATGACAGCCTCAGATGATCACAAACAGTGGCAGTAGTTACAACATTTGATCATCGAAAGACATGACATCATATCATGAGAGAAGGAGAGAATTTATGCTCTTGGGCATGGGTAAATTACTAAAAGAATTATTTTTGTCACCTATATTCTTGTATTAGACTTTACAAAGTTCAGCCAGCCAATCAAATATTGATTTACATGCACTTAGAGAATGCTACGACAGCACCTATACTGGTACTACACGGGTGTACAAGTGGCTAGCATTACAACTTAGCCAAGGTAATAATTTTCAGCCAGGTGCTCATTCAAGCATCATCTTGACAACATGTAATGCACATAATATCTAATGAAAAGAACCATCCCAGATTGAGAGTGTGTCAAATCCCCTATAGCTTAAGTTCAGGCCGCTAATTTCACTGGCAGTAGAAATATCACTAAAACCATTTCACGTTAACTAAAAGAAATAAAAATGTTCAGATGCAAGAGATGTTTAGAACAACTCTAGCATCCAAACAAGTTGTTATCTTACACATATATGGTTGTCCGCTATCATAATATGCTTTATCAGCTAAAAATTCCCAATAAATATGAAAGTATACAAACTCATAGCTTCAAGAATTTGACCTTGTGTTAACTGCTGCACAATAAGTGAAGTGAAAGTGGAACAGCAAAGAATCATAATTCATAATGTAGAACAACTATGCCAACCTGAATGAAGTGGACAAGCTCCACTTGAAAATGAACTTCTTGAATACCTTCTACCATGGCCATGAAGGAAGATTTAGTTAAGTATTGATTGGTAACATAAATTACTGCCTTCTCTCCTTTTGTCATCGTTCCCATTCCCATTTCCAGACCTTTAGGTACCTAAATTATAGACAACAAAAATTAGGAAGAGAGCATTCTTAGACAAAGCAAATTAACCATACCAAATAAGGAGGGCAAAAAAGGAATTCAGAAGAGGAGCAGGAATGTAACACCAACCTCAGATTTTCCAAAAGTAAAGAAAAATGGTTCTCCTTGAGTGCGTGATAATATCAACTTCCCGTCCCCAGTCTTTGCAGAAATCCTGGAAAAAGCAATAAATACTGTAAGTCACGATTCTTGAAGATATATTAAGTGATCAAGTTTATGAATAATTAAATACGCAGTCCATCATTGACATAAAGAAGGAAAAAGACAAAGAAGAATAAGTTTCTACCAAGCCTTTACTTCATATGGTTCCCTTGGTGATTCCCAACCCTGACCTTCATCTACTACCTATCAAAATAAATGGAGGAACAATTATCATTCAATTTAAAGCTGATACAAAGAATAAATAATATTCTAAACATAAGCCATACACCATTGTTTTACACAAAGTATCCAGTCACTAGCTCCTTCCTAGTTATCCTGTTTCTTCAACACAACATTGTATAATGTTTGATTTCATCCTTTAATGGTCCCTCACATTTGTTTCAAATGCTCCCTGAGTGATTACAATAAGTGCAGACAAAAGGAGACCCTGATCTTTTAGAAAAATTGACAAGCTAAACTATCATTCAGCAATTAGACTACAAAATATTAAATCAATTTTCCTTGAGCAATCGCCTATACAAACTTAATAAGCTAATACGTAGATTATATAATTCCTGGACAATTCTCATGGTGTATTCAGAATTTTCATAAATTTGAAGTGTTTCAAATGCATGAGTTCTGCACTCTTCATACAACCCTTCCTGCCAATCTCAATGAAACGAATCAGGCAGCATTTTTTCATAGTTTCTGATACCTTTTTCAGAACTCCTAAATCTTCACTGATGACCTGAAAAATAGAACAAAAAATGTAAAGGTTAAAACTGAAAAAAAATAAATATACCCTAATAAAAAATTCCTTCACTAGAAAGTAAGCAGTGAGTGAAGATAGCTGCAGCGCAACTGCCAGAAAGATTTTAGCTATAACAAAAGCAGAGGAATGTTTGCTAAAAAAGAGAGCATATTTTAACATCGGGCACTAGATGTTAGTATCAGATCAGAAGAAATGAGATTGACCACTCTTTAGATAGAGTAGCAAGTGAAAATAAAACTGAGAATACCCTTGCATGAGAACATTTTGCATCAGAAAGCTTCCCCCAATCATTCTTAACAGAAGAAAATATACAGAAAAAAATGTCTGTACAAAATCTATTAAACAAGAAATCTCAATCCTACTGGTTTAGACATAGCAGGTCGCCAGGACCTCGTATAGAAATCTAAAAACAGTCAATTTAATCAATTTTACAGAGGTCATATTACTTGTGAAAATCATAGGAATATTTCAAATGCTATCATGACCAGAACTAAAGCTTTATAAAATCAAAAATCTATAGCTAAGAAGAAAATTTAAAATTCTTGCCTTGACTTTAGAAAAATCTATCATCTCAATCTCAAAATGAAGTTCAGCATCCTTCGGAAAGTTATCGGAAACTGAAACAGGACAATCATCCTCACCATAATGCATTTCGGGTTTCATCTTTAACTGAAACAATGGGTATTACAAAATCCATTAAATGCAGCGCAACAATTTTTGGTCAGGAAAAAAAAATGCAGCATAACATTAGAACATTAAGCCTAAATACACACAGAAAATGTATGGTCTCCAAACTAAAAGTTAAAAAATTTATTTCAGGGGAAGATAAAAGAAAATAAACCAAGAATTCTTTTCATTATTTTGGAATGGCGTATATTTTGAATCTTTCCACATTCCCAGCAAAAAATTCTTTTCGCATGTGATCTTTTTTTCTTCTTTTTTTTTTTTCATATTTTCTCTTTGTAGTAGGAACCTACAGATGCCAAGACCTCTGGCTATCAGCTTTCTCTAGGCATATTGGGGAAAATACCATAATGCTCCTTTATGGAAAGGGTAAATGGAAATGGATGACATAAGCAAAGACCCAATCATGAAGGAATCCACAAATTCTCAGCACACGGACAAAGATAACGTAAACATGTTACAATGAATGACATTTTTCTGGTTAGAATTAGTGGTACCCGTAAATTGAATTAAAAAAATACCACCTTAGAAAATATCTTTAGTAAAGTCACTTATAGTAATATCCACAACATTTTCACCAATGACCAAACAAGATCAAAAAGTGGATTTTGAGCATTTAAAGACTACAAACACGAGTTAGTGCTCTTATCAGGCGTCAGTTACGTGTATTCCATTGAATAGTAATCTATTAGCCAAAAATCAAACACTTTATGGTACAAAGACCTTTTGCTAACAGTCATGTAGTGAAGAAATCGATTTAGGTCATAGGGCCCCCTGGGCAAGGGGACACCTAAACAACAAATATTGCAATATCCATTAATTTATAAGAATAAAGAAATATATATATATATATATATATATATATATATTAGCATATTTTTAATGCTAAAATATAGTAAAAAATCACCAATTTGATTTTAAGTCTATGGTTCAAATGAACATTGTAATGGGTGTCAGATGAAGGTATTGACCAGGTGATGAAGATATAATTCCCAAATCTTGGAACATGGAGAGATAACAGTTAGTCCAAAAAGTAAGCAGACTGAATAGCCTCCTCAGCAGCTCCTCCCCAATCAACTAATATAAAGTGTGACATTAGCTTCTGTTTTATATTTTTCCCTGTGCACTCTATATATTTTAGGGCCAGATGCAAAAATCCCACCTTGAATATCCTGCATTTTCAAATAACCCCCTGAACTACAGAAAACCCTAAACTATAAAAGATTTGCAAATGCAACATTTTTGTTATTCAACCTTTAATGAGGCTAAAAAAAAAAAATCATAACTACCCTTATGAGATGAAAATGAAAATTTGAGTTAAAAATTGACCAAATTTGAGTTAAATCCCTACAATTTACTGTTGAAATAAGCTGACCTATTTTCCATATTTGTGTCACAAAAATGTGTTTATGAGTTAAACTTTTTTTTATTTTATTTTCTTTATTAATGCTTAAACACATCTCACATAATTACCATTGCAACTTCACCCTTCAGCATCGTGGGAATTCCTTCTAGCAATCCCAGTATCATCTTGCTTTTACCTAAAACATGCCTTATTGGTGTACCCTCACCTTCAACATTGAGAGAGAGAGAGAGAGATTGGTTAAACAAAGTAAGAGTTGGCCATTGAACAAAATTAAGAATAAATAGCCTTAAAAAGTACAAAAATTATAAAACCCTGCAGGATATGATATATCGAATTGAACGGAAAAACACAATTAATAGAGTGCAAAATTGCACGATGAACATAGACGGAACAAGGTAGTAAGTAAAGATTTAATGGATTAATATAAAAACTAAAACCATGAATTATTAACATATTATAGCCAAGTTTGGATATAGTTTTGGAAAAAGTGCACAGAAACCAACACTGGTTTTTTTTTTTTTTTTTTAACTTACCGAAAAAAAAAATTGAAGGGTGTGTTGAGGCCATGAAAACAATATATCAAAAAATATATAACACATACATTGCGAATACTTCGTTCAATTAAGTGAATCTACCAATCAAAGTCAATAACAACTTTGCAGAATAAAATGATCAAGGACTTGATAAAGCATTCAGAGGCGTGATCAAATCCAACAGATCATGGGCAAGTATAGTAGTCAACAGTCAACCAGGATCTTATGCAACATGCATCGAAATGTGAAATTTAGGAATTTGGTGAAATTAGCATCCAGCATTAATTCTAGAAGCTAGTCCATTGGTCTGAGAGCACAAGAAGCAGCGCAGCTTGAAGTATCTTAAAATCTATCCAGTTGTCAATGAATAAATATATTTTAATTCTTCTTATGCAACATGCATCGAAATGTGTAATTTAGGAGTTTGGTGAAATTGGCATCCAGCATTAATTCTAGAAGCTAGTCCATTGTAAGAGAACACAAGAAGCAGCACAGCTTGAAGTATCTTAAAATCTATCCAGTTGTCAATGAATAAATCTATTTTAGAATTAATGTATTTTAGTACAGACTTCCGCTTTCACACAAATTCAGTTGCAATATAAAGAAGCTCTGCCCGATGATTATAGCCCAAAAGGCAAGTAAAGAATCTCTTTCAAAAGTTCAATGCAAACCTTATACTGCAAAGGACAAATAGTTCGCACTATAAATAACTTCAATTGGTACATTTGAAGCTCTAGGAGGAAATTACAAATGGAGTCAAAACATAAAAACATCAGAAGTAATGAACTGAAAAACCAAAAGCATTTCTACATCATCACTTACCATGTGGTTCCGATATTTTTTAACAGAATATCTCACTCCTAGCAACACAAAATTTTCTTGAATCAATAAATACATGAAGCCTGGACTTGACTCACCTCCTAATTCTGATCTTGTGGACTCAACGACGACTCCATCTAGAGTACGAACTGTGCAATGATATATCACCTGCAGAACACAAGAGACACAACTTACATAACAACAAATCGATGTCTTGGTCATCCTTGGATAATTCAGTTCCATTTCCAATGGATTGAGCACGCAATAATAACAAATTACAACAATTCATTCACATTATTTTTTAAACAAGAAGTTATGAACTGAAAACAGGAGTGAAAATTCAATCAATTACTCATTGACTCCAATTGAGACGCTTACAATGTGAAAAAATTGGAATAGACATATATTTATAGCAAAATAGTATACCTGATCACCATCAGCTGGCCTTGAATCACCCCCTCCAGGCCTCATCAAACCTTTCATCAAACTTCCAGGCACAATCTTCTTTCTCCTATCAATCCAAAATACATAATTGTAAAAAAATCTATTCATGTATATACAAAAATTGTACAAATTATGCATACATATATGTGTGTGTGAGTCTACATACTGAATACAATGTAGTATTTTTAAATTTACTAATGGAAACAAAAAGAAGGAAAAGATGAACCTTTCATCTTCATCAGAAGGTGTGTTCTTCTTCGGCGGAGCAAATTCCTGTTCAGCATCTTCGTCTACAGCCATTGAAATCAACTGTTGCCGGAAATTTGAAGAACAGTGAAGAATTCACTGTGCACAAGGCTCAGATTAGGTTTGAGAATTGAAAAATATATGTGTGCGCATACATGAGACGGTAATGACACAGTAGTTGGGCAGAAGTAGCGGAGAACCCTAGGTGATTGTAAAAGATGTAATAATGGGATTTTAAGTGTCAGGGCTCTCTCTCACACACAGTCAGTCAGTCTAAACCAAATTTTCAAAGATAGGCTAACTATAAAATCAACGACATCGTCCTTCAACCTCTCTTACCTAGTAATCTACAGGTCACCTTCTTTTTTTTAACGTAAATATGGTGTGATAGACTATAGAGAGGGTAAATATTTCAATAAAAAAAATCTTGAGCTGATAAGAACGGTAAAAAAGAGCCATTATTTACATTTAGGGACTTTTACAATAAAGTGATTTTAGTGTAGATATAGTACCCATAGACAAACGTAGTTTGCATATTTACAAATACATGAATCAAGTTCTATTTTAGCTTTTTATTAAGTTGAATTTATATTTTCACCCCTTGAAATTTAATTTATGCACAATTTACCCAAAAAACAACTTATTCAAGTAATAGAATTTTGTCAACCAGCACTTAAGAACTGCTACATAGCGCTAGAATTAGGAGACACAACACGTAATCTACAAAGAAGAATTGAAGAACTTAAATCTAGAATTATATTAATACAATATATTTTAGAAGCTAGACAGCAACGATTTTAGTTTATGAATAGACTTGACTTTAATAATTTAGATACTTCCTTAAAACGATTAGGAGAAAATTTAGATTATATTAAATAACAAGTAATACAGAATTCTATTCCAAATAATTTAGATAACAAGATAATATTAGTCGCGATTAAAGATAACAATAGTGATATTAAGAATATTACTGAAAACCAGAAAATAATCCTAGACTCTTTAAAATCCCTTAAAACCGATATCCAAAAATTATTACAATAGTTTTATGAGCACCAGTAGTCCTGAATATTTAACCGCGTTAGCTGAACTTTACAAAATTGATAAAAAAACCTATAGGATTTACTAGCTTTAAAATAGACGTGCAGTCATCTAATATACATATTAGACAAAATAACTTTTTAATTCAGTTATTACTTCAGTTATCCGATAAAGTTAATAAACTTGAAAAGAAATTAGAAGTAATACAATAAAGTATTCCCAGATAATCTTCAAAAGAATTATCTGAATTATCAGATAAAATAAAAGAAATAAAATTGTCAGTCAATAACCAGTCCTCTCCTACAACAGCTAAGCGTGTAAATTTATTACAACTTCAACCTCATAAGCAAATACCACAATGGCCATTATCCTTAGTAAAGCCAAAGAAATAATGACAGTAGAAGATTTATATGACAATGAACATGATGCTAAAAAATATATAGAACAAGAAATGAAGAAGATAAAAAATAAAATTAATCTTTATTCTAATAATTTATTAGATTTTCAGAGCAAGATATATAATCATTTTAGCCAAAGAAAAATAAGTGCAGTTAACAATCAAGTAATTTTAGACCTTATAACACCCTAAGCTTGCCAAGAACTAAATAATAATAATTTAGAACTTATGCATTTAGGCGTCATAATGATAGGATTAGTAGGATTAAACAGAGCAGAAATCGGAACTAGAGCACTTGCTTATATTTATGATGACCGACGAAATAACCATTAACAAGCACAAATAGCCAGCGCCAAAATAGACTTAGCCGACAATGCCGCAATAGTAGGATGTATTCCCAATTATACGATGACTACTAGAGAATTCAGTAAACATATTAAGATAGCTATATCTACAAAAGGATATAACATGACAGGACAATTTGAAAATCTATTAGTTAATACTTTATTTATGGAAAAGACAGTTAATCAGTATAACTTAAAATTTAAAGCCCAATTTAGTGAAATAGTTAAACCTTTTAGTAGCAAATATGTCCAGATGATAGAAGTCAGAAAAGTAAGCAGTATTACCCATGAAGGAACAGAATGGAAATTACCTAAACTTACTACTACACCTAAAAAGATTCCCGAAAATAATATGATATATGTTTCAAATAGCGGAAATGCTAGCATAAGGTTTCGTAATTATAAACGATAAGACAATTTAGTTGATGATACTCAAGAAGACTTTTTAACTACACCAATAGAGAGCGAATCTACAGAAGAAATAAATGTCCTTTATGATAGATTAGAAGATGAAATTCTAGATAAAATAATGTACGATTTTGATAATTTAGAATTAGAAGCATTGCTAGACAAGTATCCAGAACCTAAATACCAACTTATCGAAAGTATTTATTTAGGACAAGGAAATAATGATGATATTAAGAAAAATATTCTAAGTGTCGGATTTGAATCCTTCTATATAGCGTTAGAATTAAACACAGTAAAAGAAGAGTTAAATGTAATAGAGCATAGAGAAGGGAAAGCACCAGAAGCATCAGAATCTCACTCAATCGACCAAGAAATGAGTGACCAAAGAAAGACTAACACCTCAGGTAGTAATACCTTAAGTGATGACTTTACTACTGGACAAAGATTAAATCCCTCACGAGAAACTTATGTAGAAAATAGAACCAGATATGTAAACCTTAACACAATATCGTAGACAATATGAAAATATACCAGCGCAATCATCAGGAACAATATTAGACATAGCAAGGCACGATCCCCAAGACTGGGCAAAAGTAATCGAAAACTGGGAATAAGATTGTATTAGACAATCTATTTTGACCAATTTTGACAATAGAACTTAAGCCTTAACCTATTGTGAAACCTTATTAAGAGGAACCATTCATGACTGGTGGCAGGCTTATAAAGTAATTTATCCAAATGATTATGCCATCTTACGTGATAATTTTACCATTCAAGGCTTTACAAGCCTCATTAAAAAAGTATTAATTGGTGAAGACAGATTATTAGATGACACCTTAATAAAACAAAATGAAGCTTTACAGATTTGTGATTTTAGATACATAAAAAACTACACCAATAAGTTTTTTGAGTATTTTGCAGCCACTGGTAAAACAGGTGATAAAACATTACTTGATCGATATCTTCAGAAGTTATCCAGAAGCGTAGGAACAAAAATATGGGAAAATGGTTAGAAAACCATAGACGCGATATGCTAACCATAGGAGATAGAGTTAATCATATGTATAACATGTTAAAAGCAGAATGTCGACAACATAAAGAGTCTAAACAAATCAAAAAACAATTTTATTATACGTGTAGACAAATAGATTTTCCACCCCAATATGGGTGTATGCCTCAAAAGAATTACAATTATAAGCATAATAAACCTAAAAAATATAATCTGCGAAAAAGTAAGACCTACAAAAATTTTTGTAATAAAAAACCATATATTAGAATTAGCCCTAAGCAATTCAAAAAGCGACCTTGGTATAAAAAGCAAAAGATAATAAGGTAAATACTTTACCCACAAAAGAAAGACACTGCAAATGTTTTATTTGTGGAGATCCATGACACATTAGACCAAATTGCCCTCATAGATACAAACAGAATCCTATTAAAAGGATACAAGAAAAGATCAACATACTTGCAGATATTGAAGAACAGATACAGGAATTATATGAACTAGAAAGTATTTATGACTCTGACGATGATAATGAAAGTATATATAGTATCGAGAGCTTAAATAGTAACTTTGATAATGATGAAGACTTTAAACAAGGGCTTCATTCAATAGAGGAGTTCGTTCACGCTATAAGCAATCCCTCATGTCAGTATAGCTTAGTTAGTTTTCAATTTTCTTCTTATAATTGTAAACAGTGCAATACATCTATTAAAAAATGTCATTACTGTGAAAACCATTGTAAAACTTTATTATGTCATAATTGTTATACAAAATATGAAGATAAGCAAGAAAATATTTTAGTCGAATCTATAAATTCAATATATAAACCATCTAGTCTAATCCAATTCCCAGTAACATTAGAATTTAGAGAAAAATTAGTTCAAACCTCAGTTGTGCTTGATACTAGAGCATCTAAAAGTATAATTCAAAAACATTTAGTCCCAGACGAAGCCTTAGTAAAGTTAAATTATAATGTTAACATGAGCCAATATAATAATGAAAAACTCCTAATAACCCATTGTGTTCAAAACATTCATATATTAATTAATAATGAAAAGTTTGTTCTACCCCAGACTTATGTAGTTAATAATATTCCTAGCACATATGATTTTATCTTAGGATTAAATTTTATAAACTCACTTACCGGAGGATTTATGTATACACCTACATGTTTACAATTTTTTAAGAAAGGAACCTTTATTCCATCTAGAGATCCTTATAAAGATAAAGGAGCCATTACATATGTTAATACCTTACCTATGACAGAAGAAATGACAGAAAATTTATTTGATATATCCGAATTTTTAGAATACATTTATGAAGCTTTAATGTTTCTTAATCATCTTGACGAACCAAATATTTTCCTTAATAATAAAGCTATATTAAAAAACCCCAAACTAAACATTGATAATCTTATACGATTAGCTGAAACCACAAAAATTTTAGGAAAAGACCCCCAGAAACACTGGTATAAAAATAAAATTGAAACAAAATTAAATATAATAAATCCTTTTATAACTATAAAGACACAAGATAATCCTCATACCTTAGACGATCAAGAAGAATTTCAAAAACAAATTAAGGAACTGTTATCACTAAAAGTAATAAGAAAAAGTAATAGTCGACATAGGAGTCCAGCTTTTATGGTTCGAAATCATGCCGAAATAAAAAGAGGAAAGGCTCGTATGGTTATAAATTATAAAAGATTAAATGATAATACCTATGATGATAGCTATAAAATCCCTAATAAAGATGTTTTAATAAATCGAATCCAAGATAGAAAATGGTTTTCTAAATTTGACTGTAAATCAGAATTTTGGCAAATCTGAATGGCCGATGAATCCATTGAATAGACAGTGATCACATGTCTAGAAGGACATTATGAGTGGTTTGTTATGCCTTTTGGATTAAAAAATGCGCCACAAGAATTTCAGCGTAAAATGGATATTATATTTAATAAACACTCAAAATTATGTGGTTTACATCGACGATATCTTAGTCTTCAGTCAAACTAAAGAAGAATATAGAAAACATCTTGAACTTATATTCAACGAGTTTATAACACAAGGACTCATTATAAGTAGTAAAAAGATGATATTAGAAAAACA